GCTATTTGTTAGTTTGGGTCTGATTCTTTTTCTGATTACGGATCCCAACTCAGAATTTGTCATTTTCGGTGATTTGATCATTGGCAAGTTGCTTTCAGTGTCGTCGGATGGTGAGGCAAGACGGTGATCAAAAACTTCATATGGAAATGGAACAGGAATCACGAACGGCAAAACTCGCCACTTTATTCACTGGCACTCGGTTGAAGGAAGTATACCACTGCTTCGTTTCAACAGTTGTCCTCAATGTGCTTGGGCGCTCATTGCTGGAGAACGAGTATCTGCTGTGATCGAACAATCAGCTTTTGTGAGGACTCCAGTGAGGGATGAAGAAATTTATATCTTAATGTCTCCTCTCGTGTTATTGTTGACCTCTGTACTTTTTCTACCGCTGAAACCAAGTCTGAAACAATAACAATATGACGCCGCCGATACATTTGACTCAAACTAAACGTGAAACAACAACAATATGACGCTGCTGATGAACTTGATTTGAAACAGACTTGAAACAACAACATAACGCTACTGATACATTTGATTCAAACCAAACCTGAAACAACAACAATGTGACGCTGTTGATACATTCAATTCAAAGCATACTTGAAACAAAAACAATATGACGCCGCTTATGAATCATGAAGTTCTGTGTTAGCCCCCCTCATCATAATTCTCCATCAATTCGCAACTGACTGGCTATGGCGAAGATGAGGACAAGTCAATAGCATACGTATACCCTTGTCTGTTGAGGATCGACACATTGGAAACATCATTCCCATTCGTATGCTGTTGTTCCTGAAATAATACTTACCAGAGAAAGCGAGTGGGCATTACACATTGATTTCCCTACGGCGTATCTTCTGTTTACCCATGGTCATGGTTTGTGATTGTCATTGTTACTCTTTGGATTGTATCAGCGTTCACCATAACCACGCTCTGCTTGTGAATCAATCCGACGACTCGTCCCCACACCTGGAATTGTTATCAACGCCACACACATTACACACTGGAGGTGTCTTTTGGCTCTAAGCTGAGTTCATTGACGAATGCAATTGTTACTGTTCATTTTTATGCCGTTAGTTGTGTCACTTCGGAGTTGCTGTGATTCCCTGCTCTCACTAAAAACTAACTGCGTTTTGAAGGTGAACGGCATATCTCGTGCTCATCGCTAGCTTACCAGGATGATTGCTTCTGGAGAAAATGTCTATTGGACCGACTCTCATCAAAAACAACCCTTTGCACTGAACACGTTTTTGACTTAGTATGTGCTTTCTGTCTTTGTACCCCCACCTACTACGTCACTCTACAGTCAAAGGGTTTTGTACCAACTAGTGCGGGTCGGTTTCGAATAACTGTCATCAAGCTCCACCTTGAAGAAGGGGGTCCCTGATATCTACAGATTACTGATGTGAATATGATACATACTTGAAGTAACCGTATAATCACATATATCTTGACTATTTACCTACGCATATTATGTAGCCTGGTACCTAACACAATGGAATGTCACGGTAGGATAGCCAAACCTGGCAAACCCTGTCATAGCAGGCGCACGTACCTTACACAATGACCGTCAATGTAAGCGTGTATATAAAGCTTGAAGACAATTCGAGGAGCTCCAATTGAGGTTATTCACCATGATAGACATTTCCTGCAACCAAGCAATATATTAACCGATTCGTTCAAGATTTGTAGTTAATACAAATTGAAGAAATGCTGGCTTAATTTAACAACATTTCTTAACATAGCGATATTAGCCTGACATTGATCGTAGCTTACCTACCAGTCATCCATGTTGCCAGACAACTTGTGCATGCTAATCGTGGAAAATTCATAAGCTCTCTTACCTGCACGCCGCTCTTGGAATGAAAAATTAAGCAGATAATGATGAACAATTCGACTGTAACTGTACGGAGATGTTTCAACTTAATGTCGGAAACAAACTTTCATAATAGTGTTTGCGATGTGGGTTAGCTAATTGGTAGTCACAATGGGAAGGAATCCGATTGTCACGCCCAATATGGCAATCAAGTGACAATTGGCTTGAAATAAGACCCTTAACATGTATCCAATCAAAGTCACAGCCTTCGTAGCTTCAAGATAAGTTCCGTGTTTCTTACGATGAATGTAGCACCAGAGACAACCAAAAATTCCATTAGGAATTTGGCACAAGACCATGCTCCAAAACAACTATGTCCTGATCCAATAACAACTGCAGTTTCACCGAATACAGAAGCACAAGTTTCAATTCCAGTTCCGCCGAAGACGATAAAGTCCTGTTGTTTAGTCGGCAATGTATCGGTAAAGCGCTAGCTAATTGGTACGACACATTGTTAACAATGGCCGAAGTCACCATGGCGGCTTAGCCGAAAGCCATTGGCTCATTGTTCAGCAAATCAATCAATTAGACGTTTTGACGTCATTGAGCGAATGACAATAAGTCCACGGGAGAGAATGTCGCTTGCTCGATTGGGTTAAAATCGTGGGGTGCAGCAACTCTCTTTGTGTTTCTGTGAAATTGGTTGCAGTGGGTGAAGTTTCCCTTGCGATATCAAGTACAACAATCGCAGTAGATTCAGAGTATTTTTCAGCAAAGACTTCACGGCGAGTGTTTCATTTATCATATTTAAGCAGTGGTGGCTTCAGGGCCATCAATCGCTTGGCTTGGGCTTAATATTGGGGTTATAAAGGGCAACACAACCGGTAAAGAGCGAATTCAAGTCTGACAAACGAATTTTGACTATCAAAATAAAGTCGATGATTGTAGTAGGTAGCAGGTGGTGGCAAGGAAGAAAAGCTGGACATACCAGCTTTGTCCATTTCATGGTCAATTTGTTAGTGTCCATTTGTAATGTGAAACTGGGATTGTAACCTGTAATAGCAATAGAGCGCCGTAAGCACTATCCAATGGATTTGAATTGTCGTTGGGTCCACCAAGTTTCTTTCAAACTTAGCACAAATCAGAATTGCCACCTTCTCAAACTCATAGTGTGGTAGTCATTAGCTATCGTGGAAAGATAACTTTCAGTGACTTCCACCAATGAATGAGATTCCACGGATCGATACAATCACTTGGCGAGTGATTTGGGACCTGATTGATTATACTGCTGGGGCGTTGGGACACAGTTTTGACGTGGGCGGAGTTTCGCATGGTGAGCTTAAGGCATAGCCGCGCGACTCGACTCAAAGCTATCAAACAATGACTGAGCCATACCAAAAATTATGATTTCGGAAAATTGGATAATATGTTTGGTTTCATCTTGAACAGACCAACAAATTTCAATAATCAACTTGACCTGAAAGAAAAATCATGGTTTTGCTTCCATACTGAGCATAAGAAGATAATGATTCAACAAAGTAAACTCCACCGATTGTTTACTGCTTTCGGATGCCATCTTATAAATAAGTAGCTCATGTAATGAAAAACCGACTGAAACTTCAAATTTGACCCATATATTTCCATCTTTCACCTCTTATAGTTTGTCAACCTTATAAACAGAACTAAAATCTTTGCTAGTGCGCAGGCCTTAGATTGTAATTTCGGTTTACCCGCGCTCACAAATGAAATCTTGAATTGTCCCAATTATACAATCGAAATTGAAAACTTTACATAAAAATCGCCGAAATATGGATGTTATGGGTTCAATTTTTAAACTTCTGTACTCGTATTGCTCAATACTATGGCAAAATAGCTTTATTTGAAAGTCATTGTGATATGAAAAAATTAGGGTTTGGTGGTAATAGACCACATGAATCGATAGATTTAACATCTCTTAACACCCAGAATTAACCTGGGAGCCTCTACCCTAATTTATGCCCAATCGAGGTTATCTTTACAAGCTTATAAGTTCTCATCCCGCTATGCCACAACGATCATGAGGGTGTGGTTACCATTCTTCAACTCACAGCATTCTCGGCACGTATTCAAACAGATACTCCAAGGCAAATATGCCAACCCGATGTTTTGTATCTGGCTGATATGTGTAACTGACGAAAACCGTTAGCATCAGCAAGCCTTGCTAGCTCAATGGCTAGAGCGTGGGACTTTTAATCCCAAGGTTGCGGGTTCGACCCCCGCGTAGGGCTTACTTTCTTTCCGCCTTGCTAGCTCAATGGCTAGAGCGTGGGACTTTTAATCCCAAGGTTGCGGGTTCGACCCCCGCGTAGGGCTAAAGAAAGCCATTATTTTTTGCCTTTTTTTGTATTTTACCAAATTTTTATGCCTGTTCTTCTTTTTGCAGACATTCAATCAGTCTCGCACTGTAGATCAAAGGTTAGTTGCACTGGGTGAGTTTGTGACAGATTAGTCTAACAAGTCGTCGAAGAATTTAGTTTACGAATTGAAAATGGTAGTTTTCATGACTCTACACTATCACAAGCAATCTGATCAATCAATTGCATTCATCGAGTGAAAATCTGTGTGCTGTTTTCGAACCTCTCACCAATTCTTTAAATGCTGCTCGCACTCTACTTCATAATATGGTGATTGCGAAATATATCACTTACTTCAGCATTGAAGAAAAATCACAGAAATATTTCATTTTCTGCTTTTACTGTCGAGCACAGTAAATGATTATAAAAATTGAACACTTTTAAATTCAAGTGTATGAACTTCATATTTGAAGTGTCAGTGTAAAGTATGAGCCATCTCGCTACCCCACAAAACGTATCGCGAGGCATCCAACTGAGATTTATTGAACGAATAAGCACCAAGTCGTTTGCAACACAAATAAATTGCTTTGAGGTGCTTCATTATAGCTACCAAATCACCATGCTATTAATACCTTTCAATTTGACCGTAGCTCTCGTAGTCGCTCATATCGTCTCGAAATACCTACATTTACACGCTTACTCACCCAGTCAAAAATATTTCACTTCCCCTACTGTTACTACGCCCAAAAGAAATCAAATTCAATCCATAAGTCTTTACATCATTCATTTCTACTGATTTGCCACCATCAGCCATATTTGCCTACGCGCACCATTGCCACACGCGCACCCATCGCATGGGGTCCGACGCCGATGACGACGACTCCTTCGAGTTCAGCGACGACCCCGAGCTCGATGCCATTGCCTCCGGTTCCCTGAAACTATCAAGTACCCATAGGGTCAACTACAATGCCCTTCTGCACTACGTGTACCCGTCAAATATGGACGAACGCGTGTACCAACGCGTCATTATCGCCGCCGCCATGTTTGAAAACACCCTTGTTGCCCTTCCTACAGGGTTGGGAAAAACGTTCATAGCTGCCACGGTGATGCTCAATTACTACCGGTGGTTTCCCGACCTGAAAATCGTGTTTATGGCGCCGACACGTCCCCTTGTGGCCCAGCAAATCAAGGCGTGTGCGCTGATCACGGGGATCCCGGCTCTGGAAATGGCTGTGCTCATTGAGAAGCCAAAGGCAATGAGACAGGCGCTTTGGGATAAGCACCGGGTGTTCTTTTCGACGCCGCAAGTGGTGGATAATGATCTCCGCAACCAGGTGGTGCTGGGCGAGCTGATGTGTCTCCTAGTGATGGACGAAGCCCATCGCGCTAAAGGCAACTATGCCTATAATAATGTGGCGCAGTTTATGGCTCGTTTGGGCACTCAGTGTCGCGTATTGGCGCTTACAGCTACTCCCGCCACCACGTTGGAAGGCGTCCAGGAACTCGTTACAAACTTGAAGATTTCCAAGCTTGCGGTGCGTACAGACAAACTGGACGATATCGTACCCTATCTACAAGAAAAACCGCTTATCCGACGACGTATCGGGCCCCTGAATGAAATCAGCCAGATCATGCTGCTTTTAGCGGATGCGGTGAAACCGATATTGGACCAGGCTAATGCCCGCGGCATCTTAAACGTGTTCAACCCGTTATACCTTCTGAAAATGGCGTGTGTTGAAGCGCTGAGGAAGATGCAAATGGATACTTCTATGGGACCAGCACGGTTCTCAGCAGCACCGATGCTTAAAGTGCTTCTGATGGTGGGTGATGCAATGTCTAAGCTTAAGATTTACGGGATCAAACATTTTTGGCAGTGGTTTGAAGCTAAAGACGCCGAACAAAAGAAGTCTAAGGGGAAGATGATGCGCGAGTTTTGGGACCATCCTAACATCGATGAAGTAAGACAACTTGCTAAGGAAGTGGCGGAAAACCCAAAGGCAGTGGGGCATCCAAAAACTACTGCTGCTCTCGACGAACTTGAAATCTTCTTTGCCGAAGCCGACGACCTGCTGCGGGTGATTATCTTCACTGAACTTCGAGCGCTGGCGCTTGAGTTGGTACTGGCAATCGCTGAGTGTAAGGGAGCACGACCACATATTTTCATTGGTCAAGCAGGAGCTAAAGACGCGCAGGTAGTAGCCTCTGACAATGCGGCCAATCCTCGGACTAGAGGCAAACAAATTGAGTTTGATAACGCTGTTGACTCGTCCAAGCATGTACACGCTCGGGGGATGTCTCAGACAGTGCAAAAGCGAATCATTTCCGAGTTCAAGCTGGGTAAACATAATGTGTTGGTAGCCACTTCCATTGGTGAAGAAGGGCTTGATATCGGTGAAGTCGATTTGATTATATGCTATGACCTGACACTGCTGCCAATCAAAAATATCCAGAGAATGGGGCGTACGGGGCGTAAACGTGCTGGTAAAGTTGTCCTATTATTCTCTGGCAACGAGGAGGCTAAGTTTGATCGGGCGTTGACTCAGTACGATGTCATCCAAGGTAAGCTTGAGACGAATCCGGATTTGGTGGCGTTATCACCGCCGGTGCGAATGATCCCGCCGGGGTATCAACCCGAGATTCGCCGAGAGTTTATTGAGATTGATGGTGAGAACCGAGTGATCGAACAAGAAGACGACGACGACGAGATTATCCGCCTTGCTAGTGCCTATCTGAGTCGAGGAGTGAAGCCAGCGAAGAAGTCCGATAAGAAAAAGAAGCAGTTTTTGTATCCTGATGGCGTTCCTAAAGGGTTTCAAAGCGTTACCGATATGCTTAAAGGTACTCCGAGAAAAGCTAGTTCTCACGATACTACTGCCCAAACTACATTTGCTGCTGCATCCCCTCCCGTGAAGCCTCCGGTAAAACCAGTAGCTCCTCCAGTGCTGATGTCGCCTATCCAACAGTCGTCGATACTGGTCAAACCGGAACCGTCTACTTCTTGGGAACCACTGCCAAAACGAGCTAAGTTATTTGAGATTAGTGACGACGAATTACCTCAGTATATCGTCGTCAAGTCTCTGCCCAAAAGTCAAACTAAAAGTCAGGTTAGCGCCAATACTAGCCAAGGCAGCGGTCAACCCAAAAGTCAACCGAAAAGTCAACCGAAAAGTCAACCCAAGAGTCAAACTAGCACTCAACCATTAGCCACTCAGGCTGATTCCGACGACGATCTTCCCTTAAATTCCTTCCGCCACCAGCCACTGATCACTACCAATCAAAACATTAACGACTCTGATGACGATTCTGATGTCCCATTAAGCTCGCTTCGAGACCAAAGAGAGGATGATATGCCGCTCATTCGACTCCGGCTGGCCACCCCCGTCGCCTCCACTGATGATACCCCGCTAGCGCGTCTTTCCTCATTTGACAAACCGCCAGCACCCCCCACCACGTCGACGAAGACGCGTTCGCTCCCACCGCGCCCAGCGCTTATCAGGACACGTGATGAGCCCAGACCCACCAGAGATGAGCTGAGTGATGACGATGACGATGTATTCGACGACGGTCTTGATGATTTACTTAGTCAAATTGGTAGTCTGGTATCCAAGCCACCTCCATCTGTCCAGCCTCCACCTCCAGCGCCTCTGAGGCAAACATCAGTGCTACAATCGAAGCCACCACGTATTATCGACCCGAAACGGATAGACCCGATGGACGGCCTCGACGTACCGCTGCATATGGGCCACTCGTCAATTGTCCAAGGGCTTATCGACCTTGGCAAGCACTGGTCCGCCCCGCCCGAATAATCGCTGCCGCCTCATGTCCCCCACACAAACGAGATCGGCCCTCACCGCTGGAAACGCTTGGTTCGATAGACGAGGACGCTGGTGGTGGTGACAGGGATTATTCCTTCAGTCATATCCTCCGTGATGAACTTTCCCAGCCTGAACCTAATTCTATTAATATCCCCGTTTAGGCTATATTGCGATGGGACGCTAACCCTCCGTTTAGGCCATCGCGGGGCGACGGTCGCCGCCATCGCTTGGCGACTATATGCTGTGGCCAGCCTCGGTCGCGTCCACCTTCACCAAAGCCACAAAACACGATAGACGATAATCTCCTTCGAGATTTTACAAACGAATACCAAATAAATCTACAATAAACAACTTGTCAGAACTTAATAAATCAAAATCGTTTTCATCATTCTCTTCGTGTTTGTTGTATGTTTACGTTGTTTGTTTATGAACTCTCTGATGGTAGCAATCGCACCATTTCGAGCCCGCGCGCCTGTGCGACCCTTTTTGTCTTCTCGCTTTAATCGGTGGCGCCGCCATCCTCATTGGGAAGCGCCGCCCCATCCGTGGCTAGTGATGGCCAACCCATAGCCCAATTATTGGAGAATGCTATACCACCAGTACACTACTGGAACCTCAAACAACACCATCCTGAAACACTACTTTCTGTGTCTTCACTGTGTTTGTCTTGAGTCGACTGTTTTTGATTTCCTCAATGGGAGGTCCCCTGCATGGTTCGGCTAGGAAAAGGTCGACGCGGGGGTCTAGACCGCAGACCCCTGGCGCCGAGCCTAAGGCTAGCGACGACGACAAAACGGCCCGCCGCTGTTGCTGTCGCCGTCACCAGCAATGTGTCCGTGGTGGTTGATGATGCTCGCTGTGTCTCAGGTGGTGTCCATGGCTCTGGCCGCCGGCGTCGTGTGGACGTTTGCCCCAGGCCCTGGCAGCCTCACCTTTAGTGACCCTCGTCAATCTCCTCAGGGAAACACGCTGCTGTTATTCACGGGACGATTCCAAATTGGCCAGCGACGACCGCAAACGGTTAATGTGGCTATCGACTTTGGCCTGAGCGTACTGTGGCTCCCGTCCTCGCAAGCCCAGTGTGCCGTGAATAGTCAAAGCGATGACCAGTTAATCAGCCAAATTAACGGCCAAACACACCCGCAACAGCCTCAGTGGGGCTCGTGTGATGCCACTACGGTGTTTGACTCCCAGAAACTGTCTTCGTTTAAGGACAACGGCACTGATTTCGCCGTTACTTACACTTCGGCAACTACCGGTACTCAGCTGGTTACAGGACGATACGGCATCGATACCTGGTCCCTCAACACTAACGATAACAACAACATACTGATCCTGCTGTTTGTATTTGGCGTGGCTAACCGTCTGGAAGTGGACCAGGGACGTTTAGGGTTAGGACTACTGCTGGCTCCTGAAACCCAGGCTAATACACCACTGTTTCTCGCTCGAATGAAACAGCTGGGGACAATCAAACGCCAACTATATTCAGTGTTTCGGTCGCAAATTGATACCGAAGTAAGGTCCATTTTATTCGGTGCTGTTGATACGAAAAAGTTCCAGGGTAACTTAACCACGCTTCCGATGATCATGACTGACACCAGCGCTACGTTTGGATCTCCCACCCAGTTTCAAGTGACGCTTACTCGCCTCGATATTACCACCCTCAAGAAAGACCCTTACCCCGCCTCTTCCCACAATTATCCGGCGATTTTCGATCTGGGCCAGCGGTATACTTGGCTTCCTCGTTCCCTCCACAACTCGCTTCTCGAGGTGATTAACTTGAAGAACCGTACCGAGCTTACCGTACCTTGTGAAGTCGACGGTACTATCCGTATTAAGTTTACCTTTGGCGGTGGAGCTGAGCTTGATATGCCGTTAAATGATTTGATTCAGCCGCTGACCACCTCGTCAAGCGAGTGTCAGCTTGCGATATTGCCTCACGATGATCCCAGCATCATCCTTGGGGATAACGTGCTTCGCCACGCGTTTGTTGTATACGACCACGAGAAGTTTGAGATTTCAGTGGCGCCAATCATGTATACTCCAGAGACTAATGTCGTGGAAGTTGACGACCATCTGCTGCGATTACCTGGAGCGCTTATCGCTTCAGATTACGCTGCCGTCGGTCAAATCTATACGGTGCTGCTGCTGGCGCTGGAAGCCAAGCCGCCCCGTACGATTGGGAACCTAATGAATGGAGCCTCGGTGAGGTCCGCCGGGTGGGTAGCATCGCTCGCCGCCGTGATGATGATGATATAGACTAATAGATTACGTTAATGTAATGTTGACGACCAAAATTCAAATTGTAGCGTATGGTCTTTTGGAACTAAGATTCTTGGTGAGAGCATTGGAATGACTGTTGTCGTCATTTATTGAAAGCAGAATCCAAACAATACACTTTCCGACTCTTACGTTCAGAAAGAGATTGTCTTATGACAAGTCAATCATGTATTACATCTAACCCGTTTGCTATATTCATGAAGATGAAATCGGAATTAAAGTCTTACACGACGAAAAGTTTGAATTGTTAAGGAATAATTTGAATTATCAGTCATGTAGTGATTCACTATGTTTGTGTAAGATCATTGACTGAAAACCTCCCCCTGAACTTTGAATTCGACGCAAAGTTTATCGGCACCCAACCATGAACCTCTAGAGTTTTGTTTAGCACCGAAAAAGCATCCATCATCAACTCATAAAATGCCTGGCGTTCAATAACCAACAAAGAGCTCAAAACACGTCCACATCATTTTGAACCCCGTATTTTTCAAAACTTCGTCAAAGGTATCGAGGGAAGTTGAAACTTTCGAAACACGAGAAGATGTTCACAGACATCATCTCAATCGCGCCGTGAGTGGCAAATTTTGCCAAAAGTATCAAGGCAATTTGAAACTTCTGAAACATGAGGAGATTTATCAGGATTTGTGGAGTATGACCAATTCATTAAAAACCAGCAGCGTATGAAATGAAATGGGTCTTGCTTCAGCTTCATTAAATCGGAATGTTGCAATTGGAGAGCGATGGACATGTCGTAACAAAAGTTATGGCTTTGTTCCACAATCATGCAAGATCACTGAAATCATTAGACAACACCAATGACCGTAAGACTCACTGCCATAGTGTTTTACGGCCAAGGCGTTTAGAATAAGACCCCAATTCAAAAGGATCACAAACATTTCTTAAACAATCGTGAATGGTATAGATTCAAAACGTAAAGGCCACAAGGTAAAGCTTTTGCATGAGTCCATAGAGTATGAGCTTCGGCGCATTGAATACAAAATGATACAAGGTCTTTTGAGCAATTATGATTAGTCAAGCATTCATTCCAAACACGCCACAAACTTACCCAAAGAAAAGATTAACGGGTATTTTCGGTTCGGGGTTGCTTGAACAGGTTCACAACAGTTGGATATATCAAGTAGTCAAAGAAAATCATTACGAAGATGTTTTCAAAGATATCAACTCCGTGATGATTATTTTCCTTGACTCAAGCTCAAACTTACAAAAGTTCATCAAATCTTGATGGACGTTTCGAACAGGATGAGAATCCGAAAGGTAGACAGTCTTAAACATATTGCACTCGCAATCATCGATATTCTTGTACAATACGACGAAACGAAACTTCCCGAAATTCATTTCGAAGTATAGCCAACATAAGTATGGTAGCCAGATGTCTTCATCCAAAATACAAGGCCTTATAAGAACTGACTTGCTTTTGAGATTAATGGACCTACTCATTTGATTCTGTTGGCTTTCATAACCTCTGTTTCACGTACACCGTGTACGTCAAAGAGAATACAGCCAAGTTCAATTGACTTATGTTTTGCAACACAAAAGCAGTGATTCCTTTGTAAGTCTTGTTGATATTTTCATCGACATCAGTATATTTTCCAAACGATCTGGCACCACAATGCTGATAAACTTAAAGCATCAGATTTTGAGTCTTCAAGTTGTAGGCAAAATAGATGTGGAGAGTATCCATATGGACATTGGATGGTATCATTTGCAACATTGTATACCGCTTCCACCAAACCCGCCCCTGAAGATACGGCCACCATTGTAGGTTTGCAAAACGTTACCAAAACCTTCATTATAGATAAGCTTTCCTTTCGAAAATGCTTTCATGAAGTTTCACATTGCAAACCATTTCGAAAGCTTTGCTTAAAGCTTTGGAAACCAATGGTTTTTGAACAAACGCTTTAATACCCGGACGGTATTACTCATGAGAGCAAGTAATGGCAAATGTGCCAGGGATTCATTTTTGAGATTCAGGTTCAATATGGGATAATGTCAACAAGGTCAAGTCATCAGGTGTAGTTTGTAATTGGGATCAAACTGTGTTCATAGAAAACAGGTGAAGTTTGATAGTTATTCGCGTGTGCGCTCTCTACTCCACAATTTTCTCTCACAAACGCATAGCACCTTTAAGTGAAGCGAGTTCAAATCAAATTTGAAAGATTTAAAATCAGGTTCTTAATTTAGTAAAACTAATATCTAGTGATCTTCTACTGAACCCTACAGCAATAATATAACTGGTTAAGTGTAAAATTCAAATCCAATTGGCTTAAAAACACTAAGTAAAACTATTCGAAAAACTCTTTCGATTATCAAAAATAACCCATATTTGAGGCTAGTTTTGAAAATTCGTAACTTTCGATTTGGTTTTTGAAAATCGAATTTGAATTTTGAATCCAAAGTTTGAAAATTTGAATTTTGAAAGTTCATGCGAAGGTTCAGGTTCTCATAACCACCAAAAACTAAAAGCCAAATGTACCACGTATAACGGGAATACTTAACAATGAACACCACAGTTCGATCATTTTACTTAAGTAGATTTGTCGAACTTTAAAATCATCAATTTCCGACACTTCCGTCACTAGCGACGCCGGGAATGTCGGAGAGGTCCGTTCTAGACGCGACTCACCAAGGCGCGCGCCACCACTCTATCTCCTTTACCCCCAGGCCATGTCGATCACCGCCGTCGACTATATCCGAACCCAGGAGGATTTGGAACGGCAGGCCAAGGAGCTCATGCCCTATGCTCCCGACGAGTGTACGTTTGCCAAAGGTCAGTTGAGACAGCCAGTGTTTGCCTGTGTCACCTGTGGTTCTGACGATACTCCCGTGGGTGTATGCTATCTGTGCTCGATTCAGTGCCACGCTGACCACGAAATCGTCGAGTTATTCGCTAAACGGCAGTTTGTGTGTGACTGTGGAACGACAAAGACTCCGAAGGCGTGTGTTCTTCGCCAACGAGGGAAGGACACTGGGGAACAAGTGTTGCGGCCTCGTACGGGGTCAATCGACGCTTCTACACTGAGCAAACCGTTTCGGGAGGTGGAGATTGGGGCCGGAGAAGACGTTCCGGCTCTGTCAAACCAATATAACCATAATTTTAGTGGTACCTTTTGTGACTGTCGACAACCTTATGATCCCGATGATGGCAATATGATCCAGTGTTTTTGTGGCGAAGAGTGTGGCGAAGACTGGTACCACGAAGAGTGTATTTTGGGGTTTAAACAGGGCCTTTTCCGACAACTGAAATCTAAAAATGCTAATACTGAAGACGATGATGATGTTAGTCAAGTTCCCCATTTCCCCAAGTACAGTGATTTTGACGCGTTCATTTGTTGGAAGTGTGTGGCTGCCTTCCCCCTGCTTCTCGAGCTTCGTGACGTGGCTCTAGCGTTTGAAAAACCCCATCGCCCTGCTCAGCTGGTTCTGGAATGGCTCGGTGAAGGTGACGTCAGCGGTAAACGTCGCAAGCGGAATGACGACGTAAACTTCTTTCTTAAACCAGGATTTCGAAGTGAACTTGAAAAGGTGGTGGAAACTAAACCTGATACAGGATTAGCAAAATTCCTCAAAATCAGACGCCATTTGTTTGAGGCTGATCCGGTTTATGAACCGCCTAATGATGACGATGAGGGCGACGTGGTGGATATGGGTACCGAAGCATTACAATCACTCCCCAAGGAACAAGCACTTAAAGGGTTGGAGGCATACGCCACAATGAGAGAGAAACTCAAAAGCTTTTTGACTCCGTTTGCTACTAACGGCGAAGTGGTGACGGCAGATAACGTTAAGGAGTTCTTCTCCAAAATTTCTGAGCCTAAACCAACCCCATGATAAACATTGACGATGACCATGATAAACGAAACATACAGCAATAAACTAAGCAATAGACCTCATTTACATATAGAGAATTTCAAACCGTTTGTAGATTTCGAATTATCCAAGTTTTCGTTCCCAGTTAATAAAATTATAGAATTGGTTTATCAATTCGCATAACCTCAATTCTGTAAGTTTGCAATCCCAATCCACGAAATACAGATTATGAAAATGAACATTTTTGCACAAACCTGGATTTTACAAGTTTTCAATCCCAGTCAATGATAAGGATGATTCCGACTGTAAAATAGTTCGAAATAGAAAATTTGGAATCACTCGAATTTCAATAACAGTAAATTCATTTGTGAAGTAGCAAACTTTTGAATGCTAAGAAATTATATCTCAGATTTAGAAATTTGATTCTGTTCTCAAAGTTGAAGTTTTGTAAGCGAGAAAGTTGTTCAACTCTTAGTACAGGTTTATGGATTAATGTTGCACACTTTACAAAAATTGAGATTTGACAGTGGTTATCAATTCGTCTATTAAATTCAGGACAATAAGATTTTAACAACGAAACTTCATAAATTGATGTGATTTCAACTATACAATATAGGTTCGAATTTGGACGTCATATAAGACTTTACGTCAGTCAACATTTCACTTATTTGTTCTCCAAAATGTTTCGTCAACTTTGATACAAGTATTCAAATCGACACGAACCACGAACGTTTGCAACATATACGAATCGTCTAGCAATTTTCACAATCACGGAGTTGATAACGGATTACAAATTTCAGCTATACCACTAATTTCGAAGTCGGTTTTAGCCGTTCGTCAGATCACCATCGCGAAGAAAGGTTTATTACTCGACGAGTTCAAAGGGATAATACCTAAAACTTTCATCACTACGTCCTATAACTGTTATCATTACAGAACCGAATCGTATACGTTTAATTTCACGCTGTACCCTTTTACCAATTTCAAATATGTGATCTATGAGACGCGAGTCAAGACTAACTGAATTACCGAAAATAAAATCAAAAAACAACCAAAAGCTTCAATAGTCCTCAATCGACACCACCAACTGATTCGAAACTGCAAAATTTCCTCAAATTTAATCTCATCTCGGGTTCCCCACCCACTACGTCATCGGGGCGCGGGTCGCGTTTGAAGGCCACGTTGGTCATGACCCAGTACGGCATTGTTGTCGACCTGGGGTCGCTGGGCCTGCGGCTCCAGATCTACCAGTGGCACCTAGACAACGACGAAGGCCCTCCCCATCCGCCCCGCATCACCCACGAGCTGGATTGGCACATAAAGATCTCCCCCGGGGTGCTGTCGTTTGCTGACTCCCCAGGAAAAGTATGGAGCCAGCACTACCAGCAGTTGATGGAGTTTGCTGCTGCCAGGATCCCGCTGGCGGCCCACGCTGAAACTCCCGTATTTGTGCTTGCTACGGCCGGTATGAGGCTTTTACCCGAAGATAAGAGAAACAAGTTGACATCGACCATTTGCTCATCGTTAAAGCAACACACACTGTTTCACGTCGGAGAGTGTGATGATTTTGTCCAGGTGATTGACGGAGAGACTGAAGGGACCTACGGGTGGCTCGCCCTTAACTATTTGATGAACGGTTTAGATGGAAGCAATAATAGCCTGACGGTGGGGTTTATGGATATGGGCGGGGCTCTGACACAAGTGGCGTTTGCTCCAAGCAATCCTGAGGAAGTGGAACGCCATAATGAAGATATATCGACGGTGGTGCTTCGCAATACTGATGGCCTGTTATCTAAATGGCGAGTATTCGTGGAGACGTGGCTCGGCTTTGGTGCCAACGTCGCTCGTGAAACCTACTTGAATCAATTGGTTCAGTCGCTGCGTCCCGATACTGGTGCTACCACGGTGTACGATGCGTGTATGCCTCGCGGCGCTTCCACCACTCATAACGGGGTAACGGTGGCGGGTGTGGGTAACTACGACGCGTGTATGCGTACCATCTACCCGTTACTTAATAAGCACATTCCGTGTAAGGAAGAGCCGTGTTTATTTAACGGGATCCATGCCCCTAAACTTGATTTTGATAAGGATAAGTTTGTCGGGGTTAGTGAGTACTGGTACACTGCCAACGACGTGTTTGGCCTGGGAGGCGAATATAACTACCACGTGTTTAACGAGAAGGTGAAACAGTATTGTGAAAGTGAGTGGAAAGAGATTATTGCCAACCATGAAGCTGGAGGCTATAACGGGTTAGACCCGGAAAAGTTCCTATCTAAAGCCTGTTTCAAAGCGCTGTGGGTGTTATCAGTGCTCCACGAAGGGTTCCTGTTGCCTCGGTTAGGCATCGACATCAGCGAAGACGTCGCTGGCCACGCCGACGATGCCGTCACCCACGAGAAAGTGCCGCTGGCGTTTCTGCTGGCTCTGGACGTCGACGGCGACGAGATCTCGTGGACTTTGGGGAAGATGGTATTGTTTGCGTCGCTGCAAGTGCCGCCCTCGGCTGAAGACCAGCCTAATGTGGATAATGAGCTGGCAGTTGGGATTTATCCGGCATCAATTAGCGGTAAACGGTTTATCGGTGGTGGTGGAGAAATGGTCCGTGGTTTACCCAATCCCACGAAAAGTCACAGCATCTCGTTAATCCCTTTAATTATGCTAGTGGTGATTTTAGGAGTTATTTGGCATCGTCGTCCTCAAGCCGTAAAGCGGGTGATGACTAAAGGGAAACGGTTTGGCGATAAGTTCCGCCGCCTCTTCAAAGCCCAGCTGGCGTACCAACAGTACGAGTCGGCGGCGATCAATTTGGAGGAAGGGTTGGTGCCGCCGCACTCGTCGCTGCCGCTGGTCCGGCTGCTGCCGATGCTTGGGCCTCAACTGCAATTCCTTCGGACGCGGCTGACCATCAGTTTGGCTGAGGAAGTTCCCCTTCCTCGTCTGGCACTGGCAGCGTTCCTTCTGCGTCCGTTCCCCATGAGACTGTTCACATCCAATAATGCCTCCAAAGAGGATATCCATCACGACTAAACGGTTACAAACATTCTAGACATTGACATTAACTACATGTGATTGACGATACGAGTTATGTACTTTAATGTAATTAGTTATACATAGTCTTCAAACTATACTAGTCTAGCCCAACCTGGGTGGGACACGACCTCAAAACAACGCGTATGTCATTCTCACCACTTCAAAGGTCAGTTACCACCTCGGACTAAACGAAACCGGGGCTTTGTGATCCACCGCTCCCTCTGGTTTTGTGTCACGGATCGTATGATCGACGTCTTTTAGCGCCATTATTAATTGAGGATTACGGTTGTGATTTTCCCAAGAAAAAGAGCCCTAACTCGTCCCATTTAAATTTAGGCTTTAGCACAAGTGTGGCTGCTAAACATAGAAGAATGATAGAGAAACTTACCACTCATTTTTCGTAAAAAAAACGTCGGCGACACTCGTGGTTAAAAGAACACGCGTGCGCGCCGGTTATGTCGACACCGAGCTAATAATTGTCACCCTGATCCTCGAGTAAATTTTCAAGAGATTATGTAGGATAAGGTGGATGAGTGTTTGCCGAAGTTTTGTTTCCTAAAAATAGATTTAATCACCCTATTCTATTTTGCCCCGTGTTCCTGCTTTAGTTGCCTCGCCGGGTGAAATTCTCAGCAAGGCTTAGCCGGGTCATTCTCGTGACGGGTGTGCCAACAAGGACCCGTGGCTTGTCTGCAGGAGAGATCACCAAAGACGATATTCGCAAATTCTTCTAGCAACACGTCAACACCGCAATCAATGGTAAGTAACGACGACCACCTTCCCCAGGAGGATATCTCACTAAGGAGCAACCACTAACGACTAGTCTGACAAGCTTTCTGACGAACAAATCAAGGAATTCAAGGACGTGTTCCAGCTTTTCGACCAGGACCTGGACGGCAAGATCACGCTGAAGGAGTTGGGGACGGTGATGCGCTCGTTGGGGCAGACGCCGCTGGAGCTGGAGCTCACCGACATGATCAACGAGGTCGACATGGACAACGACGGCCTGATTGACTTCCCGGAGTTCTTGACGATGATGGCGCGCAAGATGAAGGACACCGACCTGGAGGCCGAGATCGCTGAGGCGTTCAAGGTGTTTGACCGTAACGGCGACGGCAAGATCTCTGCTGCTGAACTCAGACACGTGCTCACGCTGATTGGCGAGAAGCTTTCCGACGCCGACGTCGACCAGATGATCAAGGAGGCCGACACCAACAACGACGGCGAGATTGACATCCAGGAATTCACCATGTTGTTGGCCGCTAAGTAATGATACGAATAACGAGTGAATCAACCAACTGTAGGCATTTACCGTCAGAAATTTTGACGTCGCTTAGGATGGTAACATAGCTTGTTATGATTTACGCTTATCTCCTAAGGTATACGCCAATTATACTTTGCTTCTAAATATATGGTAATGAGATGAAACAGTGGCAAACAGGTTGCAAACAGGTATCTGTTAACCGTCAACTGGAATTGTAGTGTAAAATTGGAATATAGTTAACTTTGACCTCTATCACTTACAACACGAAATGATTAAACGTCTGAGCGATAGAATCATATGAGCTTCAATTATATTCACAATAGTTTACTTCAAAGACTACATTTGATATTCATTGAATTCAGATTTGGAATAATCCATTAATTGATAGTTCATCGTGTCCATTGGATGATGGAGTAGACAGTTAAGAGTCCACCAATGCTGGAATAGTCCATTGCTCGTCCGTATGAGTGTGTATTGACCATTGCTGGCCATTAATATATACAAGATCAGTGCATGACTGCCGTCAGCACCCGCACCGGCGCCCGCAGCGCCACCACGTCCCAGTCGATGCATTCCCAGGCGTTCTTCAAGTAGTGGTGCTTGCCAAACACCCCGTAGTCGCCGAGGTACGCCCGCGGCAGCGCGTCGAGCGCCACCAAGGGGAGCACCCGGCGGCCAGCAAAGGCGCCGATGGCGGACTCGGCCTCGTGCTGGGTGCCGAGCTGGCGGCGGTCGCCTTCCAGCAACAGCTCGGGGACGGGGGCGACCACATCGTCGTCAAACTCGTTCTGCTGTTTCCGTTCGGCTTGCTTTTGGCGGCGTTCAGCCTCCACTTGGGCGCGGGCCATCGCCATCTTATCGAGGCGCTCGCCCCGCACGGCGTCGTCGACGTAGCCGGCACCGTAAGTGTTCATCACCGCAAGCTCCAGGTAAGTAGTAGCACCGGTACCCATCTTCACTTGGGGGACAGCCACAAGCCACGCGTAGCCGTCACCATTGATAGCTTGAGCCAGATTAAGCAAAAGCGTCCGTAACTCGGTTACCGAACCGAAAGAGTCGTTAATCCATTTAACAAGGCTCGGTTCCGTCGGCTGGTTGGTAAATTCGACGGTGGGAGTTTCAAAAAGCGCCGCATAGGGAGCCTTTTTCACGGGTTGGTCCGGTTGCGGGCGGAGGGAGTCAAAGAAGAACTGCGAGTTGTATAATAAAGTGGCGTGGACGTTGACGTCGCGGTGGCCGGCGTGTTTCATCGTGTCTTCGATTAATTCCGGCAACGGCATGTCGTCCTTCGTCGTCAGCGCCGTATCTTCGAGGGCGCGGTTTAACCGGGAAAGCACCTGCTGGGAGCGGTCGAACCACAACTGGGACACCGTGGCAGGCAGAAAGAGACCCGGCAAACCCCGTTCGGCCAGCTTGACGCTGCCGAGCTGCGGGAGCCGGTAGTGTAATCCCCGGACGCTCGTCTTCAACATCTTGGTGGTGTGCGATGTGAAAATTTCGCACCGTTGTGGTAAGCTTTGGTGGGGGACGTTGGTTGAAGTAAAGGAGGTGGATTTTGGAGATTGAGTCGGTGGGTGAAATTTTGTTACTGATTTGTAAAGGTTTTGTTTTCGAATGAATGACTTGTTTGAAGTTGTGTGAAGTTTCAAGATTTTGATGAGACTCATACTTAATGAGCATACTTAATTTGTGGTGAACGGGTAGATGAACGTGATTGCAAAATCAATTTGTCCCTGAAGAAGTTTCGTAGCTGATTTATCGTTTTCATCCCCAGACAAGTGTTTTACATATATGTCAAGGAAATCGCCTTAGAAACTCATAATCGAATATGGTTGTTCGGGCTGAATCAGATTTCTAAGAAGAATAAGCTTTCATAGTACGAATCAAGTCTAGATGAAAAATTTGTAAGACAAAAGAAGTGTTTGCCTACAGACTTGAAACGTACTTCAAATCAGTCTAGGAAGAATTGAATTTACATTTTTTCGATTTTCAATCGAGATCTACTACATTGGGTAGCCAACTCTCGCCCACCGCGCGGCTTACTCAACCTCGCAACTCCGAACCCAGCCAAGGTCAAAAATTACATCAATGAAAATTTTGACAAAAAGGTTTTGATGGTTGATTGATGAGCTGTTTCAATGGACGGCCTTTTATGAGATGGACTCTTGATGGTTGAATCACCTGAAACGGCGGAAGCCATGGTACGAGCGTGGTGGCGATATATTTGGCAAAACCGAGAAATCTGAGCTGAAAACGAACCACAGAGTGAGGCATTAAGGAAACTTGATGGAGGCGTCTGTTTGGTCGTCTTTATTTGACTGCCTGATGGACACCGTGTGTAACTGTTTCGTGCATTGCTTCAACGGGAACAAACTGCTCTCAACAAATTGTTGACAACAAGGCATTGCCCCCTATTGTGATTACTCCCTTTTGCTTGTTATCCTTGAATTGCTACCTTTTGACTGATACGTGAAGGCGGACAAATACGATTGGCACTTGTCGTTGGAGGGTCAAACATACAAGAAAGCTCTAGGATATTTGTTACGTCTTGTGTTCCGCATCAAAGACAACATCCTATGGACGCGGATTAAGAGAATGGTTGGGGGATGGGGGGACAATGCTCTTCATTGTATTCCTTGTCCCATTGCCGACGGTGTGCATTTTGGGTAATATCCTCTCATCACCATTTTGGTCTATAAAAGGGCGACTAATTTCCTTTTGTTTTCATCATCAAAACTTGACTGGAAGCTTCTCATTTATGAGTTGAGCAATTACTTGATTACTGAAATCAACGCTCCTCTAATTGAAGTTCACCACCAGCCAACGACACGATCAACAACATCGAGTTGGTATGGATTGACGACGACGCTCATTGATTGCTATTGCGAGGCAAGTACCCTACTATTATGATAAGTTGCCCGCGACTTGCTGAATACCCTGGATCCCACCAAAATTGCAACTATTGGGCCATGGATTTGCTGTTCTACTGTTTACACTACTGTTTGCTGTTACACCACGGTTTCTTTCATGTTCAAGCGATTGTCATGGTGCAGCCAGGTCCCCAGACCATCATCGTAGCATGGAGGGTTGACTACACCACATTTGCGGCTCTCCACACGGCGGAGTTCATCATAGGCGGTATCCGATATCTGATCGACCCGTAAGAGACAGTTTTCAAGCGATCGATTAGTTACTATCGGCTGTCTAGACATCCCAAAGGTGATAGTAATGATGGGTCACCTTTTCGATGGAAGTTCATACACTGGGGAGCTGACTGAAGCATGAATAACCTAACTGAAACTACTTGAACAAATGTATAAGCTCTGATTAACTTCAACTTTGATTACGATAAAATAAATATAATCTTTGCAACTTGTTGGATTGTTGGATTAGGATACCCTCCATTCTGTACTCAGGATTCAATCATCCTAGTAGAGCCTAGACTAATTTTTTTTTTTGAAAGATAGTCATGGTTTCTATTGTTCAAATCTTGGGTTTTTTTAAAGTAAAATCTGAATTGTAACTTGCTTGTTTACCATACTTAGAGTCTTGATTAGCCATTCGCACCCTTAAAGAACACTATGGTCAATCTCAACCAACTCCACATCGCCAATTTCAATCTATTCAAGATTTTTCCAGAGGTTCAATTATGAATTGTCTTTGAAGATGAGCACCAGTTCTCATCTAGTTCTTCAACAACTCCCTTAGCCAGTGTCATTGCCCACGAAGTCTCAGTTTATAAACCTAGGGCAAAACAGCAATTGTGCCATTCAAACATCATCTCAATGAATGTGATTGAAACTCTAGATTGACTAATTTAAACTTTTATATCGTATTTGGCTATTTATCGTTATTATCATCAAATTCCTCCTCCTACTACACTTGAGCCGCAGGGCGCGGGGGAGGCTCATCGCGATGGCTAAGGGTAAGGGCAAAGGGCTCAAGGGAGCGTTGGCCCGCCACGTGGCCCAGGAGCGGATGATGAAGAAGCAGGCGGCGAAAGTGGTGCCGGAGAAAGGGAAAAAGACCAAACCGCAGCGTGTCCAGGCGTCCCAGGCCCCCACTTGCCCTTGGCACCAAGACGACCAAGTTTTATTAGTGGGCGAGGGGGACTTCTCCTTTGCTCTCAGCGTGGTCAAACAAGGGTTTGTCGTGCCCACCAATCTTGTGGCAACCTCGTACGACTCTTACGAGGACGTGGTGGCGAAATACGCCGGGGCTGAGGCCACGGTGGCCGAACTTATTCTGCTGGGGGTGAAGGTATTGCACAATATCGATGCCACCAAGCTTAGCCAGCTGTTGCAGATTAAGAAGAAACCCTTAGACGTTAATGTCGTGGTGTTCAACTTCCCTCATACCGGTAAAGGGATTAAGGACCAAGCGCGTAATATCCGCGACCATCAGATCCTCGTGCTGGAATACTTCAAAAGCGCTCGGGAATTGCTCACTGCTGCTCCTGAGTCGAGTGGTTATTTCGTTAAGAACTGGCGGATCATGCTTTCGTTGTTTGACGGAGAACCGTATGACTCCTGGCAACTGAAACGGCTTGCCCGCGATTTGGGGCTCCAAGTGGACCGTCTGGTTAAATTTGGCTGGTCATTATACCCTGGCTATCACCACCGTCGTACTAATTCAATGAGGGATACCACTAAACCAGCAGAAGAGCGCCTGGCCCGCACCTATGTGTTTGTCCCTAGAGAACCAAAAGACGATAAAAACGACCAAAAGGACTAAACGGACTAGGCTGGATATACCCTGACGCAGTCGCTGATGTTGTACACTTGGTGGGTCAACGGATCCTTGATGCTATTCTTTCGGAGCAAGATACTCTTCTCGTCCAAGTGGTTATCCAGTGGAGCCAAGAGCTTATCAAACGGATAGATATTGCCGTTGGGAAGCTTAAACGGATTGTTGAACACGTTGGTAATGAGCTGAGCGTAGGGTAATCCACGAGCGAGTTGGAACAATTCCGGCAGACACACGGGGCAATGGTTTATTTTCTTAAGCGCGTGGTAGTAGTGGTTGGGGCCCCTGAATTTGCGGTCAACCATCCCCCACACGTCATGAGCGGGTGTGTTGTGGCCACTACCATTGGCTTGATTGCCGAAAATGGTATTGGTGTGGTTATGATAGCACAGTTTTGTCTTGAGGGTCACAAGCCCGGCAGAAAGGTAAGTGTATAACGGGAAATGATGGGGGATACCATAGAGCTGATTAAAGTTATCCATGAAGCACTGGGAAAGCAGCACCCACCGCTCGTTGCTGAGCAATTGCTGGTACTGGCGGTAGCGGGGCATGAGCGCCACTTTCTCCCCCAGCGGTTCCTCTTTCATCAGCACGTAGACCAATAAACCACCGATGTGTTTCAATTTCGCCAGGTTGGCTTCGTACATCGCCTGACCCCCGTCGCCATAGTGGTCGCGGTTCAGGTATACCAGCAAATGGGTCTGGCTGTAGACAATGGCCTGTTTCACTTCTCCTTGGTCAATCAACAGCAAAAACTTACAGTAGTTTATTTCGAATTCAAGGTTCGAATGGTTCTTTTTGAGAAACGATTTGTTATCGTTGAACCAGGCCACAACCAAATCCAAATCGTGTTCTTGGACAATCAGGACAAATATCCGGTTAAATAGAGCAAATATATCGTGGTCAATGAGCTTATCCAAGCCCGGGTAGTTATCTTTGATGGAGGCCAATAATTTGAGGCCCAGGTTCTCGGAATCGCTCTTAAACCGTTTTCCAGAAGTCAGCAGGGGCAGCGGCGGAACGTACGATTTAATCAAATAATCGACAATTAGAGCCATGTGCTCGGCCCGGTACCACTGGATCAAGTTGGGGTTGTGTAAATTAAGCACCATATCGCCGTCGGGGCTCGGTTTGGCCCATTGAGCAAGTTGGCATAGATGGGCTCTTCTCGCTTCTAGACGGGCGTGGTAGTCTCGGTCTTTATCCAACGCCTGTCTGAGCTTCTTTTGAAACGTTTCAAACCCCCGTATGGTCTTTCTGAGTGCCGCTAGCCGTTCTGGCGGCGATAAGTCGGCGGCTTTAATTTTTGCCACTTCGGCGTCCACCGCCAACCGCTGCTTCTCAATGAGCCGCTGGACGTGTTTGAAGTTGATGCGGATAAGCTCCAGCGGCACCCGAAACTGCAGTTGTCTCAGCGCCACGTGGAAATTGACGGAAACGTCCATGGTGGATGGTGACTATTAATTAGTGGGGGGGTAAATGGTAGCGCGCGCGGCCAGTGGCGTTCACTTTGTAAAATAGGCAATAGTTGTCGGAGTTTTGGTGGCAGACCGTCCGCACTCCGACGCTATCCGTGAATGTTCACGCCGGTTACGCAGCCCAGGTCCCCTGCGATCACCTTTATCTAATTTTTCCCTCTGTCTCCCTAGCCTCCCCGGGCCACACTCGCCTCCTTGCCTCAAATAAATGAGTGATCATCGATATCTACAGTGGTCCGTGGCCACGACAACCGGCATATCCTAAACGCCCGATGAAACAACCCCTCGTGAAACGCTACCTGACACACGATATGAAACCACCCCCGATTTGTAGCCCCATAAACAAGCCCATTGTAGCAGTTGCTTACACGCCTTCCCCTCAGCCTCGTGCCCCCCCTCCCCCTCGCTCCGTTGCCTGAGACGATGCTGCGGTTGCCACCCGGGAGATCACCTTTTTTTGCCCCCCTGTTATGAGCTAGTGCCCCCCCTATTAAACCGGTCAAAATCACGAGCAAACAGCCACGAACAAAACCAACCCACCCGAAACCACCCACTCAGGTACAAACCTGACCCAAGTTTTATCACTACTTAATTTGAAACAGGTTTCATGTCATCATTCGACAACGACGACGACTGGGTGGTGTTCTCCTCGCTGGACAGCACCGCTAGCGACCATGAGGACGGCGCCACGGGCGCCGAGGGCGCCCTGAGCGACGGCGCCAGCGCCAGCGCCAACAGCGCCAACAGCGCCGCCGCCTCTTCCCACCAAACCCTGCTGCTGGTGCTGGCGCTGTACGTGTTACCACTGCTGCCCGGCGAAACCAGCGTCAGCACCTTATCCCAGAGCATTGGCAGCGCTGGCAGTGGTGGCAGCGGCTCACCGCCGGTGGCGTCCCAGATCCAGTACTTTGAATCGCTTGGCCACAGCGCCAGCGGCGCTAGTGCTAGTGCCGGCGCTGGCGATGATGCAAGCGCTGACGCAAGCGCCGATGCCCTGACGCCGTCGCTGAGCGCTAATAGCGACAGCGACGATAATGAAACCGCCATGAAGACCACCACTAACGCCCCCGCCAGACCCTCTATCGCCACCACGCGTTGCGCTAATTGCCGTTCGGCCTACGCCAGTAAGCTTATGGTCGTCCCCGACGACGATCTGGACCATGAAACGGGGCTGGATCACGGCGCCAAGCAGCGCCGCCGGCGCCCGTGGTCGCGCTGGTACTACTTGGTCACCGCCTACGACAATTTCATGATTTTCACGCTTTTGGCGGGGGCGGTGATTTTGGGGGTGGTGGTGGCGGCGACGATGGTGACGATGCCGATATTGCAGCACCACTTATGTCCCCAGCCGGCGCCGGTGGCCCCCGGTGGGTGGGAGAAGGTGGAGCGGATCTTCGATGACGTCATCTACGTGCCGGCGCCGGCGCCGGCGCTGCCTGCGCGGCGGGTGTGGGAGCAGATGGTGCGGCTTGGCCACGCGCCGGCGCTGGCGCCGCCGGCGAAGGTGAAACGGGTGGACCAGTGGATGGCCCAGTTAAATCAGGTCTCTTGGCGCTCAGTGGTGGCCCGGGCTCAAAACCAGTCGGTGGTAGCGGTTAACCGGTTCCGTCGCAAACTGACTCGGGCAATCACCACCACTACTCAATGGCTTCAAGGCCAATGGCAAGTGTACCGGGACGAGGAGCTCCCCACCGCTAAGGCTACTTTATGCCAAATTTACCATGGCCAAGTGGTTCCGCTTACTAAGCAATTACGAAGCAATGTGACTCAGTTACTTAATCGGAGTCAAGTGGGCGCCCACCGCCTACTCCACCAAGTCTCCCACCAGTGCCATCAGTGGGAGGCGCACCGGGCGGAAACGCGCGTGTGGTTGACGTACCAGGCGCACCGCATTATCAGCGGGTGGAAACGGCGGCGGGCGGCGTTAGTGTACGTTCATGCCCGGTGGCCGGCGTTAGAGGCGACGTGGAAACAAGTGAAGGCGGAAACCCGGAGGGGTTTGAGGGCGGCAGTCAACTGGCTCCAGAAAGTGAGTAATTCTTAGTGCTTTTTCTTTTGATTTTATGAGTAGTTAGTAATCGCGATACCCATATGAAATAGTGTAGTTTGATAACTTTTATGAGTTATTTGCGACTAAACTTGAGACGTGAATCAGGTGATTATATTGTTTTGGAATCGATGATGAGATGGAGTCTATTTTAATCGATATAATTGTAAGCCATATAATTGTAAGCCATGTATTTTGTGAACTCTCAACTCTAAGAGGAATCAGATTAGACTTGGTATATGATATTTAAGCTTTTCCAATCACGGGGTAGTAGTTATAGGCTTAGCTAAAGGTACCAATGCCGAATCATTGAGACTCCTGGAAAGAGCCCTTCCCATTTCATCTAACGCCTCATTTAAAAGCGTTTCCAATTCATAACACTTACAAAACGTCCACCTTGCTTTCATCGCTAGCGTATGGTATTTCCTTCTCGTCAGGTGAGTCAAATGTTGTAAATGCCACAGCTGCTGGTCAAGCCTGAGACAAGTGTCACTGAAACACTTCACTTTACCCACCCATTGCCTTTGTGACGCTAATAACGTCGAGTACCGGTTAAGCTCGTCGGTATCGGTAGTGACCTCTAATCTCCTCGTGGTCTCCACCACTTGGCCCCGCACCACACTGAGCCGCTTTAGGCAATCGCGAATATCCCGAGAATAATTGTATAAATTGATGTTTGACACCTCAATGACTCGTGTTTTCACTGTCATAACCAACACAGTCTATTATAGATTAAATAAGACTCGACGAGTGCTTTTATACTTGGTGTTGGTTCAGGTGGTTGGCTGATACAGGGGGAGGGGGCACCCACCCCACCCTACATGATGTAAAACACCTGCTGCGACAACCGACGACCCCACCCTATATAAGTCGACATTCGCCACCAAAAAACAACAACACTCCACTAATATGCTGCTGCTGCCGAGCTTTAAGTGGCTCCAGAAGCTCCCCCATTTACCCGTACCCATTACTACACGCGTATTTGCCGACCCGTTTGCCCTCTACCTCATTGTCGCCGAGATTGTCCCCGACCAGTACGTAAAGCCGCTACCGGTGCAAAACCGTCCTAACGCCGCCACCGCCGCTTCTGCTTCTGCTTCTGCTACTGCCAATCCGGGAGCCCCTCACGTGTCGCAACAAGCGTTGACCATCCCGTTAAATACGCTTGTCTTTTATCGAGCTATTCACGAGACGTTGGCGGCGTTTGTGGCAGCAAAGCCTCACTTGACGTTGGCGATCAATTGGCTCGATGTCGCCACTAATAACGAAATGGAAGTGGAGCGGGTGTGTCAGATGCTTATGCTTGTGGTGTTAAACAGCGACCGCGCCCAGACGGCGATGTCTGTACTTCGCTCAGTGATGGCAGCGCTGAAATTTGAACAAGCCGTGGAACATGAAGTTAATGGTCGTATTGGTTCTACTGGTGGTTAAGAAGCCCGGGACCTGAAGTACCCCACGCAGGGGTAAATTGGTGTATTTGATTTCGGGGACGGCTTTAGCACACACGCATCGCGCGATTTGGCGTCGTGCATACACCAATGTTTTTGTTATGATAATAACATACTGCGATGAGGCCTAAAGGCAAATTGAATTAAGGCAATGGAATCAATGCAATGTGTCGATTGCTAAATAATGTATGTGTCGTCGTTAAAAAGGTTTTCATCACGTAGAGTTGCGGCTCGCGTTGGTGAGCACGGGGCGGAGTTGCTTCAGACTCAGTCGAGCAACCGCCGCCGCCCCGTTTAACGCTTTGATCGTGTCCCACTTCTCTTTATCGTACTCGCCAATCACCTGTGATGGCAACAGCAGAATCCGCAGCGAGTCGTTATTGCCACCAGGAGCCCACTGAAGCTCCAGCGGCACCGGCAGGTGCGACAGGAGCGGCAGCGGGAGATTGTCGTCGTCCCAGAACTCGATCAGGTCCGACGCCAGCGTCGTCCCTCTGGAAGTAGTGCTGTCGGAGTGGTGGACCATATGGTGGTAGCTGATGCCTCCGGGAGGGGCCAATACCGCTAATGGTAAGGGTGGCGCCGGCGCCTTCTTCCCTATATGGCCACCACCACCACCTACACCACTAATACCACCGTACAGAGTCAACAGCGAGCCAAACGAGTTGTATGAGTGTGTAGTCGGTACCAGGCTCAGCTTCTTATGGTGTTTCGTTTTACCCGTCAAATAACCTTTGAGTGTCAGCACCAGGTTCAGGTGACCGTGTTTGGCCGTATGCGAAAGCATCTTGCGGATGGGCAGGTGGCTCAGATTGCTGCTGGGAGGTAACAGCATGGGACTGGTGTTGGACAGTGGTAAGCTCCAATTGTGGGGCAGCATCGGCAGCGCTGCCAAATTGGTAGTGGGACGAGCCTGGCGTTGTTGACCAGGCAGTGTATGATGAGGGCTGTGGCGGTCGGGGATGCCCAGGTCGAAGAGCGAGTTGTAGCGGTCGTAGTCGGTATCTCCCGAAGCGTGGCGCCGGTCCAGCGGGAGATAGATATCGAATCCCGGTTCAACTTCGTAGTCGTCAATATTGTTGTAATTGCTGCCTAAGGGATTAGTCGTTGGCGGCAGGGGAATGGGTACTGGCTGGCGTAATTGGGTAGCCGCCAGCGCCATGCGAGTCTGGTGGTTTTGGTGCTGTTGATGCTGGCGGGAATGCTTTTGTTGTTGGTGTTGTTTTTCGAGGTCGGGAGTAATAGCAAGGCTGAGCTTATCACTATCATCTGACGACGATTGGTCTGAAGCTGACATTGTGGTTAACATGTGTTTTGGTAACGGCAAAGTCGTGTAACCGACAATGACGACGATTAAAGTAAAGAACACCAGGAAGATCTTATTATAGTGGAGATGGTCGATGCGCCACGCCGTTAAGACGGTGGCATTCATGACAATGCCACCAATGACAAAGAAGGCGAAAGCCACTAACTGGCACACAAGCACCGCCTGGCTCCACCAGGGGGAGCGGGGGCGAGCCACGTATTTGAGCACCAACAGCAGCAACAGCACCACGGCTAGCAACCACAGCGCCGCCGCCATCGTCGCGATCAGCCCGTTGAAGGGGTTATTGACGTGCACCGCCACCGAAAGCGCCCCGAGGGACACCTCCATGAGGGCAGCCACCACGTCGAGGAGCCACAACATCCGGCAACTGGAGGAGTAAAATAAACCGGCTTATCGGGGGAGTTTGGGAATAAGAGGGATGGTGTAGGTGGTAGCAATGGGTAGGGGCGCCGAACAATCGCTGGGGAGGGTGGCCCGCTGCCGGGCGTTCCTATGTATTTATGTTTCTCCCAATATGGGGTGGTGCGGTGCTGAGCGTGCGCATGCATGGTCGAGCCCACCGAAGACCCACCACCAAAAGCATGGAACCGAGCATACCACACACAGGGTAAGGGGTCGGCAGTGACTGTTAGAACGAGTATAACGGCTAGTGAGTTGGGCTTGTCCATCAGGAGAGAGAGACTGGTGATATTGCCCTGATTTAAGACATGTTGCTGTCTGCTGGGTTCGCAATGTTTTCGTAGTGGGTTTTTTCGCTATGGTGCTGCGGGCATTATTGTTTGTCGCAGCAGGGCGATCAGCCTCACTGGAAAAAATCACTATGGCGCCCTGCGCCTCTAGGTATGGAAGCCGCCAGACACAACAAAATCGTAGGAGATACAGTAGTGTCAAAAAAAGGGGTCATGAGAGATGGGGTGGAGCTAGCACTTTTGTTGAGGTATTGTAAAGACACAAGTGGGTGGGATCTGGTGGTGCGGGGAGTTGCTCGAGGCTTTACCCAGTACTACTTGACGACAGTTTCACCACGAAACGTGGTGGGAGGTCGCGCAGAGGCACAAAAAAAATTGGAGGTGTGGTTCCCTATTAGGAGCGAGGGAGTGAGGATCGGTGCAAATGCGATTGTCGAGACTAACTGAGACATTTCCCAGTGAAACCAGAAATTAGACGACAACAACACGTACCTGAATGTTAGTTTACGCGTAACGCGTAGTCTAGTACTGTTTACGATCAGCTGGCTTGCTTCACGTGGTTAGTGAAACGGCGGTGGTGGGGTAGTGAAACTGTGTAGTCAAGTAATGATGGCGACCTCCTTGAGGCTCCCTGAGGCTCCATTTTGAGGTTTATTTCCACTTGACTAATGCGAATGGGGCCCCTGGGGCGGTGACGCGTGGAACATACCGATATATCGTCGGGGTTTCGCCTCAGGTCTAAATCGGGGTGAGGCGCCATTGTGCTAGATCCAACTGGTGGTATCAATGGCCCGATTAAGGTTCGCGGGTGGGCGTGTATCACTGCCGCTGACGTGGCACCCTGCGACCGAGGTACCGAATACAAACTCAACCGAAAGACACTGTTGGTTGAATGGAGTAATGGCTATCTTAATCATAAGCCTATGTTCTCCCTAAGATCCAAAAAAATCTCTTTGGCGGGGAATCGAACCCCGATCTCCCGCGTGACAAGCGGAAATACTAACCGTTATACTACCAAAGACTTCTGAAATTTGTAAAATTTCGGGTTTTTCGACATTTACTAGAGGAATTACCAAGCTATCGCCATTTGGCAAATTTCTGATAATTTTACGGTTCCGATGTTTAGATCTTGATGCAGAGATTGTAATAAGCATATTGAAGTCAATTTTGAAAGTACATAGTTCAAGTTAGTGTCGTTTATACTACTCGCATCCCCATCCCCCGAAATCCATAGCTGGCCCTAGAAATTTCAATTCTCAAAGTTGACATGATCAAATAGACATCTAGAAAACTACTAGGTGGCAACAATAACTTCGTGTGATGGATATTGAGTCCCATACCCGCGATTACTCACCCTAAACCACCTATATTCCCAATCATAGTGTACCTTGGCCCATGAAAGCCATCCACGCTTGAGTTACTAAGACGACAAAATAACCATTCGATAATTCCACATCAGAATTCAACATACTTACCTTAAGTTTTCCTAAAACCAACCATGTCTTCATTCGGCAAAGTGATATCTCAAATTTCTGTGTTACCTAGCTACAATCCACACAAGTTTATAGCAAATGATCTCAAATTCATAGATTTCTTACCTGGTTTCTCAGCTTTTCGCTCGCTCGCTTGGCTCGCTTCCCTTCGCTGGTCGCCACCATTAACGGCGCGCGCGACGCGTCTTACACTCAGCTCATGTCTAACTACGGAGAAGGCGGGTTCCACGCCGACGACCACCAAGACCAAAATAGTCTGCAACGGGTGTTTAGAGAGAACTGTCTCAAACCAGTCACCATCAAACAAATCAACGACTCGGTGCTGGCCAACAACGACAACGAGTTCAGCATCAACGGCGTCGACATCGCCCAAGTGGAGTTCGTGGGGGTTATCCGTCGTGTCGATGGAGAAAGAGAATCATCTATTGATTTAACGATTGAGGACGGCACGGGGCTGCTTGTGTTTAAGAAATGGACCGATCTGGCCCAGCCCCACCAGGAGGTGGTCGAGCACTATAGCGCGATGGCGGAGAAGTGGGTCCGTGTGTGTGGCTCAATCAAGATGTTCCAGGACCGGAAAACCATCACTAACCCCAGAATCAAGCTTGTCGCCAACTATAACCAGGTGACGAACCACTTTTTGCGGGCGATCGCCGTCTACGCCGACGCCCAGGGGTTGACGGCCAACGGCGGCAGCGGTGGTCAAAAGCTGTTGTTTGTCAGTGAGAACGACGACCTGGCGGGCCCGGGGTCGGGCCAGTTCCGCAACCGGTTGTTGGACTTCCTTAGAGCGAACGCCCCGCTGATGGCTGAGGGTGTACCTACTCGGTATATCGCCGAACTGATGGGGGTGGCGTTTGACGTGGTGGAAGCGGAAGCAGAATTGTTGCGTGACGATGGGATCTTGTATAACGGCACCGACGACAACACCTGGATGCTCGTCGAGCAGTACTAAGGCAAGACGGTTAATGAATGGTTTGTATGTAATGACATGTATTAAAACAGAGGAAAACGACACCAGATTGGGACTGTATAATGATTAAAAGTCAAGGGATTGTAGTTTTGTGAGTAAGACTCATCTCAACAATCTTAGAGGTTGATTACTGAGTAAACTCCAAAGATGGCTAACATATCGTGTTACCCGTCGGCGCGTTGCGTGAAAAGATCTTGGGGGCCATCATCTTCCCCAAGGACATCGCCAACGAGATCCCCGAAGAAGTGAAGGAGGGTGTTAAATTCATCCCCGTGGAATGGTACCAGGAGGTGTTCGACAACTTGTTCCCCACGGTGACCAAGGCCAAGGGCAACCTTGTCTGGAAGAAGGAGTTTGACGAGCTTGACGAGAAAGAAGAAGAAGGTTAGCGTGTAAATAGATACTATAATAATTTTGATAACAGCACATATACACTGGACAATTGTAACCACCACGTGTGGGGGCACTAAGCCCTGGTTTTGAGAGGCCGACAACTATCGACTCATCGTCAACACAATCGAAAAGTTGCAAAATGAGCGTTTCGTCTGCTATGACTACATGAAATAGGGGCTCCTGTGGGACGTTCCATTGTCAACGCTCAGGGGGGCCCGTTGCTAGCATGCTGATAACAGGCACCAGCAACCCTACACACATGCCTCGCGTCGCGATGCACGTGTGGCGGGGGTTATATTACCACAATAACCTCGACAAACCCCTCACGCGAGCGATCTCCGCATTCTACAATAAGCGGTGCAGCCGGTACCACTACGGTATATTGTTTATCGGCGGATGCTGTAGTATATAGGGCACTCTTCAGTCGCTTTTGACACAATTTCCACCCCTCGATAGTAGGGGAAAAAAAAGTCGGCTTGGCTGCGGGCCTAGCAAAAACGTGTGTCGGGCTACAGGTACATTTACTCAGGGCGTGCTACACGCAGGACGTTTATCGGTTGCCAATGAAGAAAGGAGAACTGCGTTAATTTGATTGGCGATAGCAACAGATCCCCGCCAGAGAGAGATGTATCGGAATACGGGGTGGGAAGTCTAATGGGGGGGTGCAAATTGGTGATGATAGAATATTGGCGGTGATAGATATGGTGAGCTAACAGAGAGCGTTTAGGGCACAGTACTGTCATGTCGGGAACGCTTCGGCAACATGGTGAATGTAAACACACTGTAATGCAGTCGATTGTCACCGGGGAAGGGGGAAGCGCCCTGCCACGAGGGGTGCGGCGCCGAGGCTGAAGCATTTCTGCTCTGCGTTTAAACCCCCCCCATTGTTAACCGTCCACGTGGTAGACTCGGCGATGAGTAGTATTTAACCGATGAGTTTGTGATCAACGCCAGAGGATAACCATAACCAGCAGATGAAGGTGTTGTTGCCGTTACTCTACGTGGCATCGTGGGCCTCCGCCCATGTCATCAATGGCCGCCACCTGATCCGGGCTCAGCAGCTTGACGCTCAGGCCAACAAGGACTTCTCCGTCGCCGGCGTGTTGGGGAACTTGGACCAGGCCGACAACCAGTGGATCGACGACAGATTGCTGGAATTGGCCCAGTACAACGGGCTGGACTGCGACGTGTGCAAGCACACCATCAAGTTCAGTCGGGAGTTGTACGACTCTGACGCCGACCACCAGCACTTGATCAGTCTTATGCTTTTCAAGAAATGTATCCAGCTGCAAAAGAAACCGTCCAAGTGTAACACCGTCGATTTCTTCGTCACTACCGACTACGACAACTGGACCAAGAAGGATAAGGCGCTGAATCTGAGTATCAACTTCTGGGACAACGACTTCTTGCAGATGCTCAAGCACTTCGACATCAACAACGACGACGACTTGCTGTACTACTGCTACTACAAGCACTCCGTGTGCGATCTTCCCAAGATCGATATCAACAAGTTTGGCATCGACCAGTGGTGGCCGGCTAAGCAGGACAAGCACCACCGGGAGCCTCAGTACAAGCACAAGAACAAGCATGCCCGCAAGCACTTCAACGTGCTCCACATCAGTGACTTCCACTTGCAGCTCAGTTACCGTGTGGGTACGGAAGCCAACTGTACCACCGGTACTTGCTGTGCCGTCAACTCGTACAACAAGGACTTGCCCCTGATCAAAAACTATAACCTTTCCGACTACTACGAAGCCATTGGCATCACTCCTCGTGATTTCAGCTTCTACCCTAATGTCACTTACCTCAAGGACGGTACCTACAACAAGGGTGACTATGTCGACTACATTGCCGAGAACGGATGGGACTACGTGCTGACTCCCGCCACTCCTTTTGGTCACTACCTCTGCGATCTGCCCGAAGTATTGCTTAACATTTCCCTCGCCCAGATTGGCCAAACGCAAAAGAAGAACAAGTACGATTTCTGTCTCTTTACCGGTGACTTGGTCGACCACATCAAAGAGCTTTCGTCCCCTGAGACCACTTTGCAAGAGGAGACTCGCTCGTTCCAATTGATGAAGGAGTACTTTGAAAACATCCCCGTGCTTCCTGCGCTCGGTAACCACGACACTTTCCCCTACGGGCAGGTGGCGCCGCCTCAGCTTGAACACAACCAAAACTATACTTGGGACGACGATGCCATGGCCGAGTTGTGGATCAACAACGGCTGGGTCAACGGGGCCAAGCGGGAGGACCTCAAATCGCACCTGCTGGGGTTCTCCTACGTCACTGAAAGAGGGCTTAAAGTGATCATCCTCAACCTGAACACTTACTACCAGAAGAACTTGTGGGGCTACATCAACTGTACTTCCGACCCCGACTTGTTTGGCACCTGGAAGTGGCTTGTCTCCGAGCTCGTGGCGCTGGAAGCCTGCGACCAAAGAGTGTGGATTGCCGCCCACATCCCTCCCAACGACAACGACGCCAAGGCCTACCAATCGCAGATCTTTGAGAAGATCGTCCAGAGATTCTCACCCTACACCATCGCCGGGATCTTCTACGGCCACACCCACAGAGACCAGGTGTTTGTCAGTTACCAAAACGACCAGCCGGCGGCGTTCGCCTTGGTGGCCCCGCTGATCACCCCCGGCACCAATAACAACCCTGGCTGGCGTTACTACGAGGTGGAGGACGAGCTGTTCAACATTGTTAACGCCCACCACTACTACCTCGCCTTGAACGAAACGTTGAATAACAACGGTGACTTGCCCCAGTATAAGTACGAGTACCTGTCACGTGACTTGTACGACCCCAAGCACCAGTGGCCGGCCGACGCTCCCCTCAACGCCACTTTCTGGCACCGAAACGTCGTCAAGCCCATCAACGACACCCTGGCGATCGCCTTCAACCAGGAATACATCGACTTGCAGTACCGGTACTCGCCGTTTGCCCCAAAGTGTCTCTCTAAGAAGGGGAACTTGACCAAGACGTGCTTGGAAGAGAACTGGTGCGTGGTGTCGACGTTCAACCTGGACTTGCGCCAAAAGTGTCTCGATGCTATCAAAAAGTAGATAATATTGTCCTCGTTTTTTTGTAAATTTTGTAGTTTATTACCACACCCTCACTTGGCGTCCTCACCAAAGTAGACCATCTTGGCGATGTTGCAGAACAACCCAGTGCCACCCACCAACAACTTGAATTAGCCTACAGATTCACCATTTCCTCAAGTATCAGTAGTAAATTGTTCATTAACTATGCAGTCGTCTCACAGGGCCATGTCAAATGGCATCCAAATATCATCGTCTCTAGCTTGGGCCCAAGCAAAATGTAGTCATCAAATCATTAAAACATCGTAAAACCTCTTCGTTATTGAGTCGTTTGCACGGTAAACAACAAGTGGGTGGAATAATGTTGGACCTCGACCCGGTCGGGGACGTCGGCCACCGTCGTCGCCACGGGGTACTGGCCTCGGCTGCGCTGGATATCGTGGAGCGAGTTCATCGCAAGCCAGAAGAACAAACCAATTCGGTGTTTGAGTTTGGATGGTTTTGGTCTGGTTTTGGTTTTGTGGAGAAATGGGTGGTTTATATGCTAGGAGGCTAGTGTTAGCGCGATGGCGGAGGGGGTACTCCACTAACACAGTACACACTCCTTTTCCCGGTAGTAGCCATCAGCGCAAAGGGCGCGCGCGCGCCACGCCCACAAACGCGCTCAGTGTCTAGGGTTGGTAGGCAGACACGACGCCCCCCGAGGGTGCCGAATCGTGGGAAAACCCATTTCTAGGTCTATCTCTACATTGATAAGCGTTTGATCTAGTTTTGAAGGTTGATTTGTTCAGCAAAAGTGGCTACAATAGGACTTAGACGCGTCGCCATTAAATATCGTCGTCTACTGGTGTCGCACCATCGCGTGCGGCTGGAAGGGTATGTCGTCTACTCCCCGCACCCCGTACCACGACCTCTACCAGATATTATGGCCTAATTCTAGGTCTTAGGCAAGGTAGGTAGTGTTGGAAATTAGGTAGTATCGACGCAGTACTGCTATTTTGGGCCCAATCGAACGATTTCTTAATTAGTAGGTATAGTGCCGAGTCGCGGTAACGAGGCGCCGTCACTGAGCGGGTAATATGGGGCGGCCAGCGACGCCCAACGGCGATGAGTCCCGGGCCGAGCCCAGAGTCCAGCCGGTGTCAACTTACTAAATTGCGTGCGTTTTTAGTGTGAAATAGGCCTATTGACCATGGACTACGTGATGGCTGGCCGGTAATCTGCTGGCGCTTGTGGGCGCCTTGATAGCGCACCAGGCAGCAGCTGGTAACGCGCTCCGAGAAAGGCGCTTTCCAAAATCGAGGGCGAGCGACCGCCGCCGGCCACTGTGAGGAACGATAAGATACGATGTAGGTCCCACCCCCCACCGCAACTGGCAACCAGCCCCCACCAACCACCTCTGAAACATATATAGTAGTCATGTTTCAAAGCAGTAATTAATTACTGCTGCTAGACTACGAAAATTCCGGCCTCGCTAAGCGCTTTGTGGCGGGTGTTCTTTATGAACCTAAAAACGTGAGCATCGAGGCTCGCAGGGGCGCCAGCGCCGTCGGGCTTAGGCTATAAACTTTAGGAGGCCGAGGCAGGTGGTGGCGACGCCAAGGGGAGACCCCGGGGAACCGTCTATGGTTGAGTATTATATCTTGACTGTTAAACGATTCATCCATATCTTTTATTTGGGAGGTAGTTATAGCTTATAATCGATTTCCTCTGTTAGCCTGATTAGCTTGGCTCTGATTGAAACAAGCGCTTCAGGGTCTTATGATAAACGTCATACGATAGAGGCTAGCCTTAAACCCTAATCTCACACGAGAAGAGGGTATTACTCTGAAGTTAATCAATCACCCAAACTTAGCCTACAATCATCGCATTACCTCGAGTCGATGTCAGCTTCAAACGGCATCATTAACCTATGACGTGTTTTCGATCTATCTATTTCTCTATTATATACATTAGAGCTTGACGCCCAAGTGGATGGCGGCGACGCCGAAGGTCAAGTTTTCGTAGCCCGGTTCGGGGACGAAGAAACCGGCCTTTTGAATCATCAGCTTAAACTGTTCTTGAGGAGGGAACTTGCGGATCAGCTCGACAAGGTACTGGTACAGGTCGCGGTCGTTGGCGATGAGCTGCCCCATCAACGGGAGCAACCCGAACGAGTACGCCTGGTAGCCCATGTCAATCACAGGGTTTTCCACTTGCGAGAACTCGAGACAGGCAAACACACCACCGGGACGTAAAACACGGTAGGCAGTGTTGAGCCCCGCCTGGATATCGGTGAAGTTACGGATACCAAAGGCGATGGTGTACACATCTTTAGACGAGTCCTCGATCTCATCCATCACTTCGCCATTCTGCACTTTGAACGAGAATCTCTTTCTTTGTTCGGGGTCGGCCGCCCACTTCGTTTCATTAAACCGGCGCTCCCCTTCACGTAACATATCGGGATTGATGTCGGCCACGGTCATTGTCAGCTTATAGTCGCCAAACTTCTCCGCAGCATGGTCAATGAGGCCGAAAGCGATGTCGCCGGTACCGCCAGCGACGTCCAAGAAGTCCAACGGTCTCGAGGCGCCGGGTCTCATCCCGGCGTCGAGGCGGTTGATGAAGTGGTGCTTCCACAAGCGATGGACGCCCATCAGCATGACGTCGTTCATGACGTCGTAGGAGCGGGCCACCGACGAGAACACGCCGCCGACGAGCTTTTCCTTTTCGCTCTTGTTGACGGTCTGGTAGCCGAAGTGGGTGGTTTCGCCGATGGTGGGAGGGGCTTGGCTGGAAGCCAGGGGGATTGGTGTCAGCGAGGCCGGCTTGGGAGGCTCAGAGTAGTGTCTGAGCCCCATGGCGGCTCGGCGGAGCACGGGCGCCTGGGTCTTGATCATTGGATGAAAATTGTGCGCGCGTAGCAATGAAGGCTCAAGGAAGCTTAGAGTCCTTGAGGAGATGATAAATTGGAAATTGTTTCAATTGTTTCAATTGTTTCACATTGTGTTTAGGTGATTGGAGTAGTGGTGGAGTAGCGGGGTGCTATTTGGTGTTTATTGTGTGGTGACAAGAATGCCGAGACCTAACCGTTGACAAGACAATTGAGAGTAGGGTAAAGCGCGGTGCTGGTATTAGTAGGAACTGACACCGAGCTGTGACTAAATAGAACATACGTTTTTTCCCCAGAGTAGACTAAAACGTCCAAGCGTCTGTTTGGTATCTTATCCGTTAAAGTTCATCTCCTAACAGTCTCCTTTTGATGGCAATTTATAGTGTGGTTCGCGTTGACAACTGATAATGGCCATTGATGCCTTCCCCTCATTGCCATCCCAAACGACGATAAACCATCCTCTAATGCTATCAAAGAGCTACGACCGTGCTGGCTAATTCTAGACTTCTCACTCGACTCTCGCCGTCTCGGGTCGAGCTGCTGGCTTGCTTTGGCCCGCCCTTGCTGGCACCCTAGTAGCCAAAGCCCGGCGCACGCAACTGTGGGTGTCTCCCGCCATGCGCTACGCACCCTGCCCCTGAGCTGCGAAATAATATGCTTAACAATCTCCGTTTGCTGCCCATAAAGATAGGCGTCCACCCCCCTCCCCGTGACAGCATCTCGGTGTCTGGCATTTGAAAAAATATTTGGCCCTTCAATATAAAGGTTACCCGTCCCCAATCCCTGCCACTTTTGTTGCTACCATCCTCGTTTTGTCGTCGCCTACTTTATTATCCCCTGTGGGGGAAGCCATCCCTGCCACTGCCAATACACCTCCCACAATGACTTCCTCTCAGTCCCTGCCCTCAAAATCAAGACGGATCCTGCTAATGCTGATGAAACGGCTCCTGAGACTGTCCCACTCGTCACGTCTGAGTCGAGAGTCCCAGGAAACCCAGGCCACCGAGGCCACGGAAGTGTCGGCTTCAACGACAACCATCACCACCAAGACGCAATACAATTATGAGATCTTTAGCCTTGTGGATAGAGACCTTGTCATTTGGCGTAAGCTCCATAGAAGGCTGGTTTCAGGCCAATTGCTCGATGGCCAGGGGATAGTGCTTGCCACCATTCATGACCAAAGTCCGGAAACTATGGATAATGACGATACCGGAGTCGACCGTCTGTTTCGGATTGAGGTACGCCATCCACAGACTGACGACGTCATGCTTGTGATCAAACGGCCCCGCCATCTTATAAATGGTGAGACGAAAGTGTACCTTCCAGGTTGGTGTTCTCTGACCAATAAGCGAAAATACTTGGAATTGGGCCACTGTACTCAGTCCTTCTCCTATATTCATCGACAATATCAACTTGCAACGCTTGAAGACCGCAAATTGCTCAAGTACCATCTGTTTGGTGAGGTGCTGGCCACCCCACGCCAACAGCGGTTTACCGTATCCAGCGCTACTCGGAGGTACGGTGTCGGTGACGACGTCGCCTGGGTCGACGCGGCGCCGCTGGGAGTACCGTTAAAGCACTCATCGGTGCTCTGGTTCGACCAGAGACTCACGCCCGACCACAGGGTGATTTTGGTGGCGACTGCCGCCTGCTTGAACATCGACTACTTGGACCCCAGAAATGCCTAGTTTTGACACCGTGAAGTTTATAGACAATAGAGAGTACTCGTGACATGGTCGTAGTAGAGGATGGAATGCTGTAGAGATCGTCTGCAAATCATATCGCCAGGAAGGGGCAAATTACTCGCAGGGGGGGATTGTTGGAACCTTAAATAGCCGGCAGCACGTGTGGAATGTGAGTGGCTGGAAGGTCATCTCGTGTCCACCTGCCGTCCGGGGAGGACATAAGATTATGTGCATTGCATCGCGTGGGAGGCGAGAGTCAAATACAAAGGAGCTTAAGCGAGACCTGGGGGGGTGTCGAGTCACAAACGCGGATAAACGGAACTAGGGCATCGTCGATGGTAGGTGTCGTGTCCTCACCGTAATCGATATAGACTATCGATGGTATACGTGGGTCTTCAGAGTCAACCACAAGGCCAACCCGAGTCACAGGTAGCTCTCTTTATGTGCGGCTGGTGGTGACTAATTTAGTATTGTAAATATCAGTGAAATGTGACGAATGAATCCACGTGTTGTAGAGTCAGGATGAGTCTCACTGGTGATTAAAGTAGGGAATTTTCTGAAGTTTTCGAAGATGAAGTTGACTGAGGCCAATGTTGACTTCTTGAGCATTCAAGGAGGGTTTGGTGAGAGCTCGCATCACGTGGATTTTCAGTGACATTTCTCCTCATTAGCGTAAAATAGTCAGTCTCCGTCAAAGTTTGGTTCACCCATTCTCTCAGTGTATACGTAGCATTGACCAAGAAAATCGAGTTCACCAAGAATATACCCCCTTTGTGATCATTTACGAGATCGGGGCTAGTTTGGCTTGAATCTCGGCCGTTCCCGAGCCAAGACTTTCTCCATGACCTCAACCTGATTGAGAGTGCTAATTGATTGAGCTGGCAGTGATAGTCTGCGTACGTAATCGACCAACGTTTACTCGATGGAGTAGGGGTAAAGAGCATACGTAAGCGACTAACTGATTCCATTATTGAGCGACGACATGGTACGCTTTACGTAAGCGAGAAACGGTTACCGTATTAAGCGTTCCCTTAGTGGAGGCAAAGCTCGAAGATGGTTGCGTACGTAAGCGATAAACGGTTACCGCATTTGGTAGATGCCGACCAACTTCCGCTCCCAGCGCAATATACCCACGAGGGCGATCAAGGTTGGCAATTTTGGCGATAACAATAGCTTCACCACCTTAACGGTTTCGACGTCAGTGACATTTGTGAAACATTTTGTCGGTAATATTTGGTGATACTCCGATCATCGGATTCACCGTTAGATGTTTTGCTGACGTAATCGCCTTACGGTTACCAGATTAAGTAGGTGCCGCTTCGGAGTGTCACCCCCCTCATCGCAGCGCCTGTTTATACTCAACGTATATGCGGCAAAACTCATTGACAAAACGTATTTTTGCTTCCATTGCCAAGACGCCAACGAAGCCAATCAACAATTCATAGATTCGATCAATTATCGCATTTCTCTTGCAACCATTGGTCTCACTGGGAGCCTCAATTAAGTCAGTCATAATGCCCCACGCTCTTTACCTTGTAAACGATGCTTAATGCTGGATTCAAGAGATCTGCCGCTCATAACCGAAAAGATGTTTGCAGCGATGTTTGCAGCGATGGATTGCAGTGAGTCACTGCCGATTATGATCCCTTGCCTTTCACTCCCGAAAGTGCCTGGAACATCAAAGCCTCCACATAATATTCCTCAAGCATGACGGGGGCTGAGGGCCATAAAAGAGCAACCACGCCCACCTTTTTTTTCTTAGCATAGATGATTGAATACACCCATTGCGCTGACGATACTGCTGCCACTGACAAATTGGACGCCACCGTCGTCCACCAGCAGTGCTATAGCCGCCCACTGACGGGTTTTTATTTTGTTGAGGAGTTGCTTGATGTGATTGACGAAGCGGTAATCCACTGGGATTCACTGTCCAAGCTGATAGTTAATGATGACGGCCAGGTTTTGGCAACGGTGGAGGTGGCGGAGCCGCTGGCGATAATGACTCCGGTCAAGGTAACTCCGAACTTGAAGCTTGTACGCCATAACGAGGCCATTGGCTATATTGAGCGGTCGATGGGGCGGGAAGTTGCCATAAGTTTACCTGGTTATGATCTAGCCGATGCTCTAGTGCTTAAACGGTTAGGTAAAGCGAAACGGAGGATATCAGGTTGGCAGTTGCTGACGCGGATCCGAGACCCAAACCACTGGGTACGCATGATTAACCTGGTGTTTGGCACCAGTGATCGCGGCGTAGTGACAGTTGAGGGCGTGGAAATGGCTAAATTCAGCGGTAACATGCTCATCATTGACGATTCGCTTCTGGATGAACGGCAACGGGCCACGGTGCTTGCGCTAGCAATCAACACCTGGGTTAAGTAATTGGTATGGGTTAGCTTTATAGCAGGATACACAAACGGGAACACCATTGGTTAGTTCGTGAATAGAGCTTTGATGGTAGCGCTGACACTAGAGCAACACCAACGTAGGATCAACCAAAGGGATTAATCAAAGGTATCAGCATTGAAAATCATGGTTGATGTTGTCGAAACATAATTGGTAACACTTTAGTAGCACTTTGATCATGGTTGGTATTATTCTCATAGCCATGGCGTAACCAGTAATTGATGGTGGGATCATTGTCGAAGAAATCAATAAACATCAATTGATGGTGGGACAGTAAACGCAAAATCCCTTGACCAACAACTGATTTCAGTGATTGTGGCACACATGACCGATCAGTTCAGGTTGTATTCAATCAGACCTCAGATGGTAGCGCCGACATCCAAATCATGGTAGTCAATTTCACCAAAGAATTCAAATCCATAATCAATTCATTTTTTTTCAACTTTGATGGTAGTTTCCTTTTCGTGGTAAAGCTTCCTTCCCCATCTCATCCCCTTAACCCCTCACGTGACCGATGCGATAACGCGGCTCATCGCATCACCCTTAACTAGCATCTTACTAGCATACCCACCATGTCTCGTGTCATCGTCAAGGGGCTTCCTCCCTACTTCGACGAGGCCAAGCTCCGGCTGCACTTTGCCCACGACGGCGCCTACGCCGTCACCGACGTGAAACTCATGCGGAAACGGCTGGGCGAGTCCCGCCGCTTCGGGTTTGTGGGGTTCCGTTCCGACGACGACGCCGCTGCTGCGGTCAAATATTTCAATATGTCGTTTATCGACACTGCCCGAATTTCGGTTGAGATTGCCAAACTGTTTGGTGACGAAAACGTCCCGCTTTCGATGAAAGAACGTCAGAAACGGAAACGGCAAATGCTTGAGGAAAAGGAACAGAGACTCGCCGCGAGAGAAGCACGTTACCAGGAGCTGAAACGGGCGAGGAAACATACGATTGACGACGAAATTAACGCCAACCCGGAGTTAAAGGAGTACATTAACGCCTTGAACGATAAGCGGCTGTGGGCGGATAACGACCACGCCGACGGGCTGGGGGCTCCGCTGGCGGCTGAATTTGAGCGGAAAATGGCTGAACAGGAAGCTGAAACCGCCAGAATTGAGGAAAATGATCTGGATAACGAATACCAGGACTTTGGCGCTAAAAACCAGGAGGATGAAGAAGACGAGGAAATGATGATCCCATTGACCAATAATGATGAAACCAATGAGGACAATGTTGAAGAGAAGGTTGAGGACGATGGGCTTGCTCGGGACGAGAACGTTTCTGATTTGGACTGGTTGATCCAGCGGCGTAAGCGTATGGCCGAAGCCAATAATGACGAGAATGAAGAAGATAAACAAACAAATGATGATGATGATAATCTGAAACAACAACTGAAACAACAGCTGAAACCAGTACTGAAACAACCACCGGTGGAACCTGAACCCACACCCGAGGATACCATCCGCGCTACGGGACGTCTTTTCATCCGCAATATCCTTTATACCGCTACCGAAGACGATTTCCGTAAACTATTCGAAAAGTTTGGCGACCTTGAAGAAGTACACGTGGCTGTCGACACCCGTACCGGTAAGCTGAAGGGGTTTGTTTACATTCAATTCTCAAACCCGGAGAACGCGGTGAAACTGTTTCAGGCCCTCGATAAAACCATCTTCCAAGGGAGATTGCTTCACATTTTACCAGCTAAAGCCAAAAAAGACCACACGTTGGACGAGTTTGATTTGAAAAACATGCCGTTAAAGAAACAGCGTGAATTGAAACGGAAACAGCTGGCGGCGAAACAACAGTTCCAGTGGAACTCATTATACATGAGTCAAGACGCCGTGCTCGAACTGGTAGCGCAGAAGTTGGGGGTTTCCAAACGCGAGTTGCTTGACCCGACGCTGTCGCTGCTGGCGGTGAAACAGGCCTTGGCTGAGGCCGACGTCATCGGCGAAGTGAGACGCTATTTTGAGAGCCACGGCGTCGACCTTGTCCTGTTTGAAACGGCTAAGGAAAAAGATGACCGTATCATCTTAGTGAAGAACTTCCCCCACGGCACGTCCTCATCCGAGATTGGTGAGTTATTCGCTCCTTACGGTGCTATTGACCGGATTCTAATGCCTCCCCAGGCCGCCACCATCGCCATTGTGGAATTCCGCGACGCGCCACTGGCGCGACTGGCGTTTTCAAAGTTACTGTATCGGAAGTTTAAACAGGGGATCTTGTACCTTGAAAAGGGTCCCAAGGGGATCTTCACTCGTGCTGCAACCGATGCTGAAAAACAGGCCGCTGGCGCTGTGTCGTCCGAGCCCGTCGTCGAAGCTAAGACCACTGCTGAAGATGCCATCGAAACCAATGAGATTGATGACGACGATGATGTTGTTTCAGGCCCTACGGTTTCAGTATTTGTAAAGAACTTAAACTTTGAAACAACGCTGGCTCAGCTTAGCGCCGTGTTTGATGGTCTTCCTGGGTTTGTTGTCGGTGTGGTTAAAACCAAGCCTAACCCTAAAGATACGTCAAAACCGTTACTGATGGGGTATGGTTTCGTTGAGTTCCGTACTAAGGACCAGGCTGAAACCGCGATTAAAACATTGGACGGGTACGTGCTTCAGGGACACCGTATCCAATTGAAACTCTCCCACCGCCCTGGAACTCAAACTGACACAAACGATGAAACTAAGCTGAAACTGAAGAAAAAGGGGTCGGCTAAAATCATCATTAAGAACTTACCGTTTGAGGCGACACGTAAGGACGTGGTTGAGCTTTTGGGTGCTTTTGGCCAATTGAAGCTGTGTAGAGTGCCTAAGAAGTTTGATAAGCTGGCGAGAGGGTTTGCTTTCGTGGAATTTGCTTTGGCTAAAGAAGCTGAAGCAGCGATGGACCAATTGAAGGGGGTCCACTTGTTAGGGCGGAGATTAGTGATGCAATATGCCGAAGCTGACCTGGCTAATCCGGAAGAGGAAATCGAGAAGATGATGGCTAAAGCACAGAAGCAACAAGGGACAAGACAATTGGCAGAAATGAGAGGGATGGGTAAAGGGAAGACCCAGTTGGAAGAAGATAACGACGACGAACTCGCCTAGGTTTATGAGTATTTATATTTATAAGGTAATGCATTCAAATTATGGTACTCTCTAGACTGCCTCTTTTAGCTGCGACATAAAGATATCACGATGATTGGGAAATACCGTCACATTTGAAGCCCATAATAAAATCAAGCAAGTGTTTACTCATATGAGAATGACTTCTTGGCTGTTTCTTCCATATCTTTGCTTGCTTCCACTGGTGCTTCAAGTTGGAAGAGGCTATCCCCTTTGACTTCCGTTTATGGCGATACGGTGGGGCTACTTCCATCCCCTCAAAATGGCAAGACAAATAAGTCCCGAAGGTGAATGTAGGAAACCCCATTAGTTAATGGTTGTAGGCATGCCATCTCCAACCACAAACATCGGTGTCGTCTTTAGGTGATCAAGACTGATGACACTCAACGAAGAGTTCGAAAATGCCTGATTCCACAAATCTTTCTCATTGCCTTGGGTTTCAAGTATGGAGGTCTCAATCTCTTACTATACACTATTTGGTAGCTACGAGTATGTTCACAGCGTGACAGACTTGGATTGATATAGATGATGGACTTCAATCAAGATGTAATAACCTCATGGTATAGTTTCTCACGGTGATAATGCTCAAAGTTAAAATTCTCATGGTAACAATTGCCAGGGTGATTATTCCCAGTCTCTTACAAACAACAACGCGTTCACACACAACGGTCACAGCAAATAGTTGGTAAAAGACTGTAGCCAGTGCCTGATGGTGGAACCGTTTGGTAATATATATTGCGCCGGTGGCACTTGGTAGCTATTAATACCTTGGTGTAATCAAAACTTAAGCGTCCGGCCGTCTAGAAGCTCATCACCAATATTAGCAGTATAGTTGTTATCGACGAATACCGACTCGACGAATTCGATTTGAACTCGCGTAGAAATTGGACAGCAATTAAGTCTGAGGAACGTCTGCATCAAGTTGAATGTCCATGGTGGATGTAGCATATCAGACAAACACATCATGAAACAAGTAGCTCTTTCAAAAGTCTTGAACATCAATGTGGCCAGCGTCTTTGTACCCAAGAGCTCAGCCCTCCACCGAGCGAATGGGAGGCAGTCACAACGAATTAATAGACTTAGAAGTAGCAGCACTTGAAAATTGAGATGGAAATAACAACGAATTGTCGAGGAGTATTGTGGCCGTTGTGGTGGTATAATATTCTCCTTCATTAGTAGGCGGAGCATTACCTCATTCATAGTCGCAGGCGTTGACTAAGAAGTGCCTTAACAACCGAACCAGCATCACTAAGTTGTTTTTACTGTTCAATAATTAATAACCCACTGGGGGAATATTATAATCAGCAAATCTCCCAAGACGATGAAATTAAAGAGTAACGGAACTTGCGCAACATATTCGTATTGTTGATAACAGCAAAAACATATGGGCAAAATTCCTTGTTCAGTTCCCCATATAACGTTGATATTACGTCTTCTGTTTCAAATAGTAGCCACACGAGGCTATCCTCTTGAAAATTGTCGACGAAGGGCATTAAAGGCAGACATGGCTCATTACATAGTGTTTTCAAAGGAACCAGCGGAATAGCGATGGCAATGAGTAATCTGACAAGATACGACGTGGATTACCTTCACATGGAGTGGCAGTTTTTAATGAATACTCGACTTCAAACAACATAGCAATGGCTCAGTAATAGTTAATTTCTGGGCGCAGTAATTGCTCAATCATCGGGAAGCGATATAATTGTAACGGAGTCTCAAAACAGCAATCATGTCACGTACAGAAGTCAACCAGCAAACGAGTAGTCAATTATTAAAGGAATTTGGGGTGATAGTATGACAGTATGTAAAACCGTAACAGTGGTATTTGCCAATGGAGAAATTAATCAAGGAGATAAAGATCAAACTAATTAGGAGACAGCCTTTTCCTGTACAGAACAACACATCAAGTTGATACACTAGCAAGCGAGTCAAATTCCAATTGGCTGGCGTAGATAGTCGGATTCCACTGGATAGGTGAGCTTCGATCAGGTTCACTGTCGTCCGAATTATTTTGGTTTGGTTGACCATCAGGTGATACCCGTTCCAGCCAATGTTTCACCTCAGGTTTCAAAGTCAACTTGTGACAACCAATTGACTGATGAAGAGAGTAGTCTGGTGGAGATCATTGAGATGAAGGATCGTATTCGTCGTCAGTGAGGGTGGGCAAGGGTTAACCCTACTCACAAACCAATAATTTATGAAACCATGGTGGGGCGGGTATTGTTTCGGATAAGCGAATGCGGTCGTTTTTTTTTGCGTGAGAGGCGAAATTACCCGTCTCGGAGAGTGCTCGTCACACCGTCACTCGGACACAAATTGCACCGTGCCGGGGCTCATAAGTCCGGACATTATTTCCCTTTGGAAACAGCGCTACCAGCTCTTTCAAGGGCAAAAAAAAGCATACATTGACAATAAAAGTAATGATATTTACAAAAGTATTAGTTGATTGCTAATTTTCTTGGTAATTTGTGCTTGGCTTTGTTGATCATTGTTACCAATTTCGAGCCCTGATCTCATCACCACCTTGAACCGCACCGTGATCGTAGTTACCCCACAAATTCGCGCGCGTCGGAACCGCACTCCGATGATATATATATGGCCAGTAGCTCCGACGTGGTTTCGCGAGGCGATGCCGACCCCAACCAAACCCACCACCAAGCGCGCCCGCATCGACGCCGCCTGCGACCGCTGTCGCCGCCGCAAACAAAAGTGCGACGGCGCCCGCCCCGAGTGCGGTTCGTGCTCAGCGCGGGGCGCCGAGTGTGTCTACGGCAAGCGCTACTCGCGCAGCCACGTCAGTGAGGACTACGTGCGCCAGTTGGAAGCGAAGTTGGGCATCGACCGCCGCCGGCGCCCGCTGGAGGCGATGGCGGGCGACGACGACGACGACGGGCGCGACGACGGGCGCGACGATGACCAAGAGCCGCGGCCGCCGCTGCCAGCGCCAGCGTGGACGGACCCGTTGACGCCCACCGTGGGGTTCGACCCGATCCTCGGCGCCCTGAGCGCCGCGGCGACGGCGGCGGTGGCGCCCAGCGCGACGGTGGGCGCTGGCAACGGCGCCGCCGCCACTACCACTGCGGATAACACCACCACGGGCGTGCCGATGAGCGCTCCCCCCACCGAGCCGCTCCCGCTCCCGCTCCCTAACGGCAGCGGCCACGACAGCGGGCGCGGCAGCGTCCACTCGACTCACTCCGCTGGCGGACTCCGGGCGCTTGCCAGTGCCAGCGCGACGGCGGCGCCCCTCGTCACCCTGGCGCTGATGGCGCTGGCGGCGCTGGCGCCGGTCGCGGTGCCGATAACGGCGCTGCCGGCAAACTCCGGCACTACCGGCGCCGACACCGACGGCATGGGCGCGGGGCGCCCCGACGACTACTACGGGCGGCTGGCGGTGGCGCTGTTTTTGAACCAATTATCCGCCCAAGTCGACGGCGAGATCCCCGCCAACGCCGTGCCCTTTGAGCCCGAACTGGAGGTGTACCTGATGGGTTATGGCAGCGACAATTTGGACGATGTCGCACTTCCGGCGCCGGCAGTGGCGGAAAAATTTGTCGACGACTATTTCACCTACGCATGGACGTTATACCCGTTTGTTCACCGCCCCACATTTATGGCTACCTATAGAAAGATTTGGGACGGGCACGGGGTTCAAAACACGTTGTTTTATTGCATTTTGAACTTGACTATGGCCATTGGCTCGCTTTTACTGCCGCTGGTGGACTTAGACGAGAAGATGGCCACTTCGCAAGTGTTCTTTCGCCGCAGCCAACACCTTTTAAGAGTGGATATGATGGATCAAGGCTCGTTATTAGGAGTCCAGGCATTACTCCTAACGGGCCAGTACTTACAGGCGACGCCTCAATCAGCCGGGTGCTGGAACTATATTGGTTTAGCGATCCGTATGGCTCAGGGATTGGGCCTACACGACCAGGAACCGTGCCCCCGCCTGCCGCTGCTGCTGGATAAGCCACAGCCAACGCTGCCAATGGGGAAACACAAACTGCTGTGCATCTACCGGGAGATGAGGCGGAGAGTTTGGGCCGGCTGTGTGGTGATGGACAGGATCGTGCTGTTGACGTTTGGCCGTCCGCTTATGGTTACTGACTGGCTGCCTACAGAAGTCGAGCCTGTTGATGACGAGTATGTTACCGATGAAGGGATTAATGTCCCCCAAGAACAACACCGCCTGGAGCTCTGTTTCTTTGAGCAGACGATCAAATTGTACCACATCTTAGGGGAAGTGCTCCAGACGTTTTACACCGCCACTGCCCCGCTGCTGATCGACGATATATTAGTGCAAGTGTTTGAGTTTGAGAAGAAATTGAACCGGTTCCGCGACGGCGTGCCTGAGTTCATCAGACCCGATGCGGCGATGATCGAGCCCCGCTGGGCCCGCCAGGCTAACGTGCTTCGTCTCCGCTACTTACACTTGAAAATGATGCTTTACCGGTCAGTGCTCGTGCCAGCGAAGCTGGTGCTGAACGACTTATTGGGACTGGCGCAAACGGCGGTAGCGGGTCAGTGTGTGATCACCGCTATTCGCGTGGTTAAATATATTGGCGGCCACGTTAATGACGCCGATAACGGGGCGTCGCTGCTTCCGGCCCACTGGTATAACATCTTCTACGTGTACACGGCAAACACCGTACTTTTGGCAGCGAAGCTCCAGCCGGGGATAATGGCTACGGTGAGCTCGGAGGAGCTCGACGAGGCGTGGAACATGGGGCTTGACCTTCTCGACCGCTACCGCCGCCACAGCCAGAGCGCCGAGAAGTGTATCCGCGTGCTTGAAGTGATGGGCGAGAAGGTGGGGATGGCGACGACAAGCGGCCAGCAGAAGGAGATGGACCAGAACATGTTGTTGAGCTTGTTGTACGATACTCTGGGCCCGTTGGGCGGGCCCTTCTTTTACAACGGGGGGCTCTGAAGGAAATTAGCTGGTGGCATTGATAGATGACCTATGATTTTGAAACCATTGTCGAAGAGATAACTGGTGGGACTAACGAGTATGGAAATGGGCCGTGACGAAGTCATACGGCACCATTTGATTATAAGTTTCTTCAGAGTTAATACATAGACAAATCAAATTATTCGGGCGAAATGTTTTGAGCGGTCTTACTTTATGCTTCAACCTAATTCTATGGGCCATTGTAGGTACAGTTATCGGTAAACTGGGGTTGGCCAAATGATGCTCGTCGCCTTGCCTCGTTAGCAAGATTGCTGAGGTGATTGCGAATAACATTGCTAAAAGTGGAGAGTAACGCTATGCTTAATATTTAAATTTTTCAGCGTCAAATGAATAACAGCCAGTTTAACCCAAACTAGACACATCGTCCAGTTTGATTCATTCCCCACTAGTACAACTCATATTTGTAGCACTGGGTAGCACTGGCATTCATAGTGTAGTGATCCTCGAGGAAAAGTGCGAGAGTAACATCTTTCCCTACCACACTTCAAATCGAGAAATCAACTAGCTGTCTTGGGTGTAAACCAACCATTGACAGCCTTCAAACTTTCTAATTGGTGGAAACCCGTGTGAAAAGTTTGCGTTCGGCTACACTGGCGAACGACAGACGCCAACCAGAACAAGCTGTGCCCCATCTTGTTGCCACCTCGAGCAGCCTCCTACCTTTAGTGATTCCTCCACTGCCCGATTATTCCATGCTGTCGTCTGGTTTCCAACCACCCTCTCACTGATGAGCAGGCTATTTAAAACGGCCAATCCGCCTAAAAATGCGGTGTCCTCATTGATTTGAATTTTGCGCCGTTAAAGTGGAACTGCCGTTCTCGCCAGCATGCGTCGGCACATCATGTCTGATAAAACTTTTGCCTTGATCCTAAGAAAGTACGACTTGCCATCTAAGCTTCTTCCGGACGATGAACGCACTGCATTCGTCTAGTGGAATGTGAAGGTCACAGCAATGTGGTCAAGCATCAAGCTAGACATAGCACCAACCCACCGTTCCTCGAAGCAACCGGAAGGACTGGAGTTTCCCCGACCCCCAGCCGCACCCCGCCACCCGCTAGGGCACGAACCACCGACTCAACTACTCTGAATAGCCCAATGCCACTGGAGGCCCGCTCTGCAAATCCTACGCTGAATCCCTCGACTACAGCATCGCGTCCTCTGTCCAGACGACCTCCGACTAATATCATCATCAGTCTGCGACGCCCGCGACCGCTGGTGCCCCGTCCAGCATCTCTTCATTCTCAGCCGCTGGCGGCCAATGGAGGAGTAAGGGAGATGACAGAAACCACGCCAACAACGGCGCAAACGGCGGCTCCGACGACACTGCAGTCGTTGGCAGCTTCGCCAGTTGATGGGACAGATGGTTCGCAAAGAGGAGTACACACCGCTTGGCCCCGACACTGCATTGACGCTTAAGGGCTACCTGTTGAACCGCGTCATTTTTAAATTGATTGGTCAAGGCGACTACTGGAACCCACGGATTGCTAAATATCTTGTTGATGATATAGTGGAGCTGTGGCTAGAGCGTGTACCCGATAAGATGCCATGATCCGAGCTGCCCAAACTTTGTTGAGAAAACGTGGTCTCGAAGGGTCGCTGAAGTTCACAAAACACTCGCTGGCAACTGTTTATGCAATTGGGACCAAAATTTACCCTATTGTTGAATAGTTGGACCTCTTCAATGTTTTCTGTGAAGAGCGCTTTAATCGGACGCTTAATTGTTAACCAAGCATGGTTCTGGAGCTTTAGTGGACAGTTAAACTCAAGCTCAACGATGCTGTAGTGTTGCTGACGGGTTCAGGTGGAAACAGCGACGAATTAGTGGTAAGAGCCGTGCTGGCTTTGTTGGGGAAGCCTGAGGCTTTTGAAAAGCTCTTTGGCAAAAGTTACGTCATTTACTACTCGATCTTGACTGGTCGATGGGGTTTTTTCACTTATCTTTCAGCAGGGAGCTACTTTGATAATATCATGGTTCCCGAATTGTTAGGTAACTTGTCTTGCCAAGCCAGCTCTAATACAACTGCCAAGGCCAATAACAACATCACTTTGTCCTGTTTTGAAGGAATTGGCGTCGATTGCCGGGTTAAGCTTGCGCGATTTCAAAATCGGCGCTTATAGTTGACGACATAAAGCCACAAATTAGAAGCAAATAAGATTAGATATGGTTTATAACTCATGATTTAGTTTTTACTATGAATAGTGACCATGGATTTTGGTGGTTGCGTTTTTACAGGCGCCGGCATGGGGATTATGGTGTTATCCATAAGTAGAGATTATAAGCCATATGATGAGGGTCGATGACATGGCAATTGAACTCGAAATCATATATATACATCTACCTGAGAGCAATTGGGAGTTTATCCGAATCGATTTTAAAAAGATTATCTCTTTTGATGAGTCGATCTTCGAGATCAACCAATAGCCAATCTCTCTATGGTTGGGTCTCGGGAACTCTCGAAGAATATGACTTGACGAGTCTATAAAAGGCAGAGTTCTTGTGAGGGTGATTTTTTCAAAGCCCCTTCGTCTAATTGAGGAAGGCTGACAAAAATTGAGAGGGGCCACGTTAAATATCGTACGACAGGCCTCGAATTTCCTCATCGCACCGCGGAAATTGCTGGAGTTGGCGGAAGTGGTTGCGGCATCGGGAGTGTCGGAAAAATGACCTGCTTTGCGCGAGGCGGTAAGTGGGAAATTTTATTTACCAAGGACCGTAGGTGGTGGAACCGTAGGCGCTAGAACCGATGAACTACAACTATATGTGTATACTAGATTACAGTCAACGGTTAGTGCCTGCTTATAATTTAATGTTTTCCTTACATTAGCACTAGAACCATCCAGTGATAACCTAAGGTGAACACAGATTGACGTCGATCTACTGCCCGTATTGGCCTTAGGTAGTACCGTCGCCACACGAACGAAGGCAGCCCCCCAGTCTGAAGAACACGATGCGTACACGCCCCACCCGTTAAGATGGTAGTCATGACACCGCCAGAGTAAACTCTGATCAAACCAGAGCGTCTTCGCCCGCCTGGGTCTAGCTACTAAAGTCGATCTCCGTCTCGACGAACACGATGCGTACACGCTCCACCCGTGAAGATGGTAGTCATGACACCGCCAGGCAAAGCCAGGCCAATTCGGAGTCTTGTCGTTCACCTAGTCCCAACCCGTGTTGAGGAGAAAAACCTGTGAGGAAAAAATTGGCTTTTTAACCAGATCGATATTGAGCCCTGGAAGACACCCGCCCCCTGCCTTCAAGCCAGCCATCGCCCCTGCCGGCATCTCCTCCACACCTCGCCCTTAAGCCAGGATCTCCCCCACGCCTCCAAGCCAGGTAAAGCGTTTAGGCTGTATTCGCACCAGGTGAAAGGCACAAAATGTACTCCGTGTCGAGGTGAATACGCTCCCGGTTTTCCCAGCAAAATTCGATCGTTTTTTGGCGTGTTAGGCTTGGAAAACACAATCTCGACGTCATTATTCATCGGGTCAAAGGCGGGGCGTGCAGTTATCAAATGAGGGGAGTGGCCAGCGCCCAGTGGAAAAATTATATCACAAAAGCAATGTTGGCACACGATATGAACGGCAAGTTCAGCGTTAAGTGTCAAACAACATGTGTCAACCCTGCACTGGCGGCCCCCCATGACATCATACCCATAGGTTAACGCGATTCGTCATATTGAGGGCTGTTTGTTACTCACAACGTTCCCCGTTCGTCCCTGTTATGAAGCACTGGCCGAAAACCACCCCGAGCCCCCATCGATATTCCATAATCTTCTACAGGGGCATTACCCTCGATTGCCTGCCCCCCAAGCCCTTCCAAGCTCCCCCAGAGTTCAAAACGGAACACATTGTCTAAGGGGGCTTTGTAGGCTCGTGTAAACTTAAAAATTTTCGTAGTTAGACGAAAAAAACTCCAGGAGGTGCGACATATTGGCGAAGCAAATAGTAAACCACTGTTTAGTGGCCAGTAGGCGATTATCTTCAATACGTAGACTCTATGAACCCAACCAAGTCAATGGCAAGGGTGCTGAGGTGGTGGGTTTGATTTGGTACCTTGTTTGGTGCTCTTTTCATGTGATGCCGTTGCTCGTCCCGACGGGGCACGCCTTGGGGTCATTCAGGATTGTCGCCGGTTAACATTCCCTGGACGCGCTGTACGTACAAAATAGACGATCGCTCTTCCGCGATAAGCCCGATAATATCTTGCATGGATCTTGCTTGAGTGTCTGCGGTCAAGTAAACTATTATGGCGGGGTAACAAAACGGCATTAAAGTAAACTGAACATAACGACCTTTGGCAAGTTTTCAAGAAACTTGTTCACTACGAGGGTTGAAAAATGTGGTGTTGTTTCCGCATGGGTTGTCCAGACGAAGGGAATAAACAGAGTGTAGCTTATGCGTATGTATCGAAGCATGCACGCCTGGCCATAAAAAATAATCTGCATAGAGTGCGTTATCGCTCATTGGAGAAACCTTTGGTTATCAGGATGGTAATATGCGTGATTACGTCACGTGCATGGCCAACAGCTCAAAGTGTAAGAACCTAACCTTTCGATGGGACACATATAGTTAGATGAAAAAATTTCAAAAACAGACAAAACCACACTCTATTAATATATATATGATATCAGCTGTTTTGTTTTTGCATTTCTGGGCGTAAGTTTGGCTTATGTCAGTAACCGCTAGTTTTTGTATTCCCATTGCTAATCGCAAACAGCGCAGAAAGCGTAAGTTAAGGCTCTTTTTGTATGTGGATCTTTCTGTGCTTTGATTTACTCAAAGACAGGGTGGATTGATAGTGATATGCTCGTTTAATTCGCTAGTGGACTGAGGACCGTTGGCGGCAATAAAATCCAGAGTCCGCGGTTATTGTAATTGACAATGACAATAATCATTGCTCACAGCCTAGTATAATTGCTGATATCGGTGACCTATTATTTGGCAGCAGTAGTGTTGGCATTGGAGGTAGTATTGCCCTGAGGTTTTCCAGAAGGCACGCGTACGGCACAACTCAACAAAGGCACCACAAACAAATTGATGGATATAACGACAGTTAACGTTCATTACACACCTCCACGTGAAATTGAAGTAGGCCAGAGTTACCCCACCTCAGCTGGGTGTGGGATATGATATCAGTGACGCTGATGGAATAGGCGTGGGTGATATATTCGTCTTGGACTCAAGACTTTCCCCCATACAATTGGTATGACCCTCTGGTGACACGTTCACAGTGATGTGTATTCTGACAGACAACAGCCTCAAGCACTCCACCATAACTTGGTTGAGATCATGGTCCATCAGTCTCACCCTAGTTATGAAATTGTGTCAAGGCAGGCTCCAACGTAAACGGCAGTCAAATAAGCTGGTACCTTGTAAACCCCTTGGATAGCCGAACGGCTGTGGTCAGTAGCCTTCCAGGGACCGATGTGTTGGAGCGCCCTGAGGCGGAAGGCGGAAGGCGACTCATTGTATGTGATATAGGAGACTGTTGGATATGGCAGGTGTTGGTTGATGTTGGCCGGCGCTGTAAGCTTGGTAGAATCATGTTTCACTTACAGTTTGATACCAGACACACCCGAAACCTGTTCTGAAACACCCACCATGGTATCATGGGAATAGTCGAACAAGAAGCTCAATTGGATCGGAAGAAACTGCCTCAATGAATCGTAAGAGCTATTCCAACGATTACCATGGCATTTCGCCATCCGTTAACATGTTCTGTTACCTCCAAGATGTTATGGATTTCCCCTTGTGGTCTGCTGAAACATGGTATCACACCACCTGCCCCGCAGATGACCGCCACCGCACACCCCACACCCCACAACAACCACAACAACAACCACAACAGCTCAGTCCAATGGATTAATTGGTGTTCCCCGGAGTGCTTGCTTCAACCGATGACCCTCTTTACAGTACCACCACGTCAATACTCAGTCTTACTTGGCGTGAGCGGCGCTAGCCTCGCTCGCTGACCGTCGGCGTTTAACCCCCACGCCTCACTCCAGTTACGAATGCTATCAGCGGTGGTACCACTGCCTATGTGATTCCAGTGGTGGTGATAATCAGCGTCTATCACAATTTGGTGACGATGGCGGCTCTTGGCTGGCACTGCCGCTAGCACTACTTTCCATTGCGGCAGAGACGCCCAGTGTAGGTGAATGGAGAGCCGCAGCCTTAACAAGAACTTGGCACAGTTGTATTCAGCAGTGGGAACCTTGGGGATGATTGTCTCTTTGTCTTTCATCAAGCACTGCTATACTCCACCATTCTGATGGACTAGTGGTGCTCTGGCAAGAAAGAGGGTAAATCAACTGCAATCAGTATTACAACTGTTCTTCGAGGTTCATCGACGTCTACTCGCGAAGATGTTTGATCTTGCTTTCATCGGTATAGTGGCTCACGAGTGTTTCATGGGAGTGGCTGCCATCACACAAGAGAACGTCCACACTAACCGCAATGCCATTGACTTGTGGCTTCAGACATTTGGCCCCAATTACGCCGGTCTTGTGCTTACCGCTACGTAGCTGTTTGTTCGCCCTCATACTGAATACTACACTGGGGTGAGACAACACTCGGGTGACCCTGAACTTTACGTGCAAAGATTGCCCCTCACTTTCAGCAACTTGGCTACCCTGAAAGCATTAAGACCGTGTGCTTTTCAGACTCGTTGACGGTGGTGAAGTGCAAGCAACACAAAACGAAAGCCGACTCCTCAGCGTTGCTCACACTGTTCGAAATCGGCACCTATTTCTCTATCGAATTCAACAACCTGAAGCCGATGAATATTGTGATTAAGCTTAGCGAAGCCAACGGCAACCGTGCCGTCAAAATCAGCGTTAATATTGGCAACAACACTGGCGATCCCGCAACAGTGGCTTGCGAGAAGCAGGAGTTGGGCTACACTGCACGGTCGTGGGCCAAAGGCGACAAGCCGAAGCGGTGATAGATAATGATTAGGAACTTATAGACGAAGTAAATAATGCCACTCTTTGCTACAAACACCAAGGAGACTTCTGAGACGCAATTCTAGCTTACCTCAAATTTTACCACATTTGACGACCACTTCATTCACCGAGACAGCCTAACTGAAGGGTTCCCATATATCTGAATTTAACGCTTATGGTGGCAATGATGTGAACTTATGATACAAGCCATCCTGCACTTTGAGCACTACTCAGGATGCCGCTCAGCTAGCGCCGTTCTGTCGACCAACGACGCTATTTCGGGCATGGCGAGCCCTGGGTCGCTCTCTGGAGGGCGCACTCTTTCAGCAATATCTGCCGGCCTCGGCTTTCTCCCTTACCAAACATGTGCGAGGCAGTGAGCTTCAAGTCAGCGGTCGTTACGCTTGCAAAGTACACCACGGTGTTGTTGTGGCTGCTTGTGTTATTGGCGTGGCTCAACTACTTTCGACTCCAGCTTGCAGTGATATCTATGGCTATATAGGCTCACTACACAACACATGGCATCCAAAACCGCCCCCAGCGATTATCATCCTCAGCGGCGATGGGTTTCCGCTCGTCTCTTATCGTAGACCTACGCACTCAGTAACTGCAGAAAACTGCGCACTGGCCAGATAATTTCTGCGCAAGTTGCGCGGTGCTTGAGAGATCTTAGCTCGCAGAGAAAAATATTTCCCCCCCATGAAGCTTCGTCGTCTACAGGCACGTGACGCTCGCCCACCCCCTGGTCTCCCGCCCATTTCTCAAAAAATTGCACCCTTGTCAACACACTATCGACGTCTTTATGTTCTCCGAATTCTTGCCGTCTTTGAACAAAGCGCTCCCCGCGGGCGGGCTCTTGCAATGGGCCATGTTGTTGTTCGTTTTCCTGCACTCTCTCCGTTACCTTTTACTCGTGGTTTACGCTATTGTTAGTCTTGTCTGGGTGATCCCCAAACTCGTGCTTCGTTTCTATCTTTTCATTGAAGACGTGTACGATGGACTCATGATCTGGTGGATGAAGAAGCAGAACAATTGCACTGTTCTCTTTACCGAATACGCTGAACGCAGGCTTCAGCGCAACGAGAAAATCAACCTGTGGTACTTCCAGTGGTGTGCTCAGCAGCGCAAGCTCAGACACTTCTGCGAGGACTGTGTGGACGGGTGTGCATTGGCTGTGAAGGCTATCTACACTACGGTGAAGCCACCTTTTGTTATTGTTTCGAACTTTGGTTCCAAGTGCTACCGCTATGTGTCGCCGCGTTTGTTGGGCTGGCTCTACCAAGTGTGGGCCATGCTTATTTGCGGACTCGACCGCATCGGGGCCATGATTCTTCCGGTTGTTCTGGTGGCCGCGTGGGTGATTAAGCTCGCGGGCACCGCTGTTCACGTTACTGGATACTTTGTTGGGTACGCGGTGGTTCTAATCGCTGCCCCTTTTGTTTACTCGGCTGGCAGATGGATCTTTGGCAAGGCGGACGTTGCTGAGCCAGAGGAAGAATCCGAACGCCAACGCTGCCGGGTGGTACGGTATGACATCTCTATCAACCTCATGCAGCGTGTTATTGAGCGCCGTGCCGTGCAACTGGACAACGCCCTTGTGATTGGCGACAGCCAAAGGGTCAGCGTTGCTTGGCAGTGTGGACGGGAACTCTGGGACTTGGTTCGTACTCTGGAGATTCCCATCCCCGGTGTTGACGCTTCGATGGTGTACAAGGTTTTTGAACTGCTTTTTGCCAAGCTTGCGGACTGTGGGATCTTTGTGGAGACCGACGACGACAACAGTGCCTGGTTCAAGACCATTTTGTACCTTGCAGTTGTGCTGCAGGCCAAGATGATGTACCTTGCTTCCATCGGTGTTTATTTTGATGACTCGTTTGTGCCGCGCGCGTTCCACTTGCAGACCAATGCTGGATACATCGACTGCGAGTTTGTGCCGCGTCCGTTCCGACTCCTGGCCAGAAACCGCACCAACTACTCGTTCGTGCCGATCCGTTTCCGTCTTCAGGCCAGACCCCGTGCCGACTACTCGTTCGTGCCGATCCGTTTCCGTCTTCAGGCCAGACCCCGCGCCGACTACTCGTTCGTGCCGATTCCGTTCCGACTCCTGGCCAGAAACCGCACCAACTACTCGTTCGTGCCGATCCGTTTCCGCCTTCAGGCCAGACCCCGTGCCGACTACTCGTTTGCGCCGCGTCCGTTCCATCTTCAGGCCAGACCCCGCGCCGACTACTCGTTCGTGCCGATTCCGTTCCGACTCCTGGCCAGAAACCGCACCAACTACTCGTTCGTGCCGATCCGTTTCCGCCTTCAGGCCAGACCCCGTGCCGACTACTCGTTTGCGCCGCGTCCGTTCCGTCTTCAGGCCAGACCCTGCGCCGACTACTCGTTCGTGCCGATTCCGTTCCGACTCCTGGCCAGAAACCGCACCAACTACTCGTTCGAGCCGCGCGCCCTCCAGCTTGGGGGTGCCACCACCTGAAGCCGCCTGCACTTTTGCCTCAGACAAGTGTAAAAGTCTCGAGAGCTACTGCAACCCTTGACCAGCTGCGCACCGTGTCGGCAGCGCGATACTCCATGGCTGTTACTACAACTAGCCGATCGCGTTGCCCAATGCCGGTCCGCGCTGTGTCAGCGACGCCACTACTACACGGCCGTTACTACAAACAGCCGAACGCGTTGCCCACTATTACCCGATTGGTAAAGAGGACCCGAACCACCTGCTTTCCTATCGATGAGCCGACCCCCGACAAGTTACAGAGATCAAAGAGATAAGAGAGATTAAAGAGCCGTGACCCAAAAAATCAAAAAAAAAAAAAAAAAAAGAGCCAACAGAGCCATTCAAATTCAAAAATCAAAAAAAAAAGAGAGTCACAGTGAGATATTTTTTCGGGGTCGGCGCCATGCAATCAGATGCGCGCCGTGGCTGCAGCGCGAACACTGCACGGCTGTTATTACAACTAGCTGAGCGTGTGTCCCGAGCACCAACCCACGTCGTGGCGGCAGCGCTACTACTACACGGCTGTTACTACAACTAGCTGGAAGCGTTGCCAGATATTGAGATATTGACCGAAGGGTATAGAGCGTACTCACCTGCCTTCTTCCCTTTCGATGAGCTGACCCCCGAGACGTTACAGAGATCAAAGAGAAAAGAGAGATTAAAGAGCCGTGACCCAAAAAATCAAAAAAAAAAAAAAA